AGTCCCACTTCCTTCACTGCATTTTCCTTCATGTTAAACTCCACTTTTACCACCTGTTTGTAACCTTGAGGCTTTAGTGTGATTGTCTTAGACTGGGTAAAGTCTAATGGAAAGTTCTGTGAAACTGATAAGGAACATGGATTAGTACTCATTAGATATTCAGCCAGAAACTTGTGTTGCCATGCATTGTGTATGTTGGTCATTAGTGACCATGTGTAACATGCTGTAGTTAGATATAACCAATTTACATGATTTAACTTTCTTTTGATATATTTCTTAATTGTATTCTTACTTTTCTTGTCGTTTCTTTATTTTTAGGAGTCAGTGAGAGTGCATTAAAGGTCCATTATTTTGACCATGTTTTGACGCTCTGTGTTGGTTATAGCATGGAGGAACCATGTCTTTCAACGTATACAAGTTAATATTATCCCGAAGACACTGCGTTTACAATTACACGTGCTCTCTGTACGTACACATAGCCATGATGCAAGAGTTGTCAAAACGGAAATGTTAATTGTAATTGTGACATAATAATGATCAACCATGATAGAGCTTTAGTTAAATACTACTCTAGTTAAATGCCGCTAAAACAACACTAATATTAGAGATGTAGGCCTAGGCATAAACACTATATTTAAGAATATAGACCCAATCAAACGAAAGAAATTGTAGAAGCAAGCATTATTAATAGACGAAATTCAGTTTGATACTTTTTGGCATTAACTTACGCACACTCACAAATCCAATAATCGTTTCATTGGATCTGGTCATAGTTTAGTGAGAGTAAATACTTTAAATAAATTTGAAATTGCCAAAACTATTTTTCTGAAATATTACCAGTTTGCTGCAACATGCTGGATTTATTTTCTTAACTTTATGCATGCAGAAGAATGAGCAGAAAAATAGGAAATAACTGCTTGACATTTTTAAAAAGCAATCTGGTGAAATCAGAAATGCTGCATAAATTTTGGAGATAAATGTTTGTACTATCTTGATCTTTGCTTCTTAAGCTAGCTTTTAGATTTTCTTCGTAGTTCATAAAAAAAGTACTTGTGGGCCTAATTATCAATGTTGAAAAAAGTATTTTTCGATTAATATCGTTTTTTTCCAATCAAAACAATGTGACCTCTTCAAACGTTGAGCATTTTTTTCAAATTCTAATGTGTAGTGGTACGGTGTCTTTAGAGTACTGCATGAAAACGTTGTTAACATAATAGAACATTAAAATTTGCAATTTTTAAAACCATGTGTGTCTTAGATCGATCAGCTCTTATTTAAGAAAGGCAATCTCTTAATATCCCATCTATTCTGCGAAGCTTTTGTTGATATCTTTAAATGTGTTTGAATCTTATGCCTAAAATGACGCTTGTTGCAAAAATAAATGAAAAGGGCACAACAAAATAAAATAAAACACACCAAAAGGCGTTTCCAGGCTACATGTTCGAAACATGCGTCTAGGCTACATGTGTATAGGCAGACACGCACATAGTTGAAAAGCAAGTTCACATATTTTGTAAATTTCAAATTGTGATTTTGCACTTAATACCAAAAAATGAAGACCCTGCAATACTGGTATCGATTGCCGTGAAAAAAAAAATCAAATCTGTAGCACTCGCTTTTATATTTTTCAAAGATTAAATCTAGAAATCTTTCATTGCTTGTAATATGATACTTAATGACGTCAATGTGACGTCATTACCAGAAAGTTCAAGTGCTCAGTTGTTAACTTTGCTAAATCGTGATTATATCTCTCACGTTTTAATATCTCTTATGTTTTTCTTTATGCTAAATTTCATTGTTATACATGTAGGTGTCAATTTCAATTTTTTTATATATCGAATACAGGATTGCAATGAAAAATCAAACTCTAACTCTTCATTTTAAGAAGTGGAAATTTACATTCTAATTCCAATATTAATTGTGTAATTATAACATTTGCTTGCCACTTTACTTAACCCTTCTCCATGGCTTCTCTCTTTTAATAAGTGTTGTTTTTACTATAAGTATTTCTCCTAATTATTGCTTTTGCAAATCGATAAAATATAGAAGGAAAAAATTATAACTCAGCCCCAGTGGTTATTTCTCAAACACCGGTCTCAGATTGTTTGGATCCAGGCTGGGTCAATGTTGTGCACAAGGAACAAAGGAACATCCTTTGAAATCAGGCTAGAGAGCTTTTATTTGGTTGGTGCATTATATACAGTGCAATATCACAGTGCCGAAATCATAGAAGCTGTGGTTTGGAAAATTCTTTGATGTTATTTCAAGTGCAGTGATGTAATAAGAAGCGCGCATAAGTACAGGTATACATGCACATAGAAGCTTGTAAATCGTCTGCTTATTAAACTGTTAAAAATAACGGTGTCCTGCACTCACAGTTTACTGTTAAGAAAATCCCTAAAATCACAGCGAAGACTCTGTTAAACGTTGACATATTCAGTTATATCGTGATCTATTTACACATTGATTCCATGTCTTTCAATGTACATACTTTATAAAATCCCGACAGTTAATCTTCGCATAGCAATAAGCCATTGCAATAACAGAAATGTTAATCAATATTGGATGAGTCAGTGTCAAAACAGAAGTGTTCATCTTAATTGTGACGTAATTAAAAAAGCTTTATTAGTAGTTAAAGGCGACTAAAGTGCAAATAATATATGAGATGTAGCCTTAGGCATGGACACAATATTTAAAGGGGCACTACCGCACTAGGTCCTGAAATCCCCGAAAATGTCATGTTTTTTATTCTTTACTTATCCTATTGCAAACATCTGGTCGAAAGGAAACCAACCATTGTAAAGCGCATTGCGAGCTCCGGCGGTCCTGTTTTATTATTATTATTATTATTAACCTAATGTCTTACCGTTCCCGAGAAAAAAAACCCCGAACAAACCCGGTTGTTTACATCGGACACGACGGAATACGAATACGTTTTTCCTGTCGTTTTCAGACAATGCACGATATACACGTTGTGTCTATACAGTACCGTGCTCGCGAGCACCCAAACAGCTCGACTTTTTTGGGTCACAAAATTGGACCCCGAAAGTCGTTCTCGCACGCACTGCAGGAATAACACAAAACGCCCACTTTTTAAAGGATAGTTGTGTGGATGTTATATATCCCGCTCCTTTTAAATGTTCTTTCCGATTAACATCATTTCGTTCAAAGCGCGTTTTGTAGCCCAATTGGGCTGTTCCAGGACGCAATGTCCCTTAAAGCATTGATGGTGACCCAATCAAATGAAAGAAATTGTAGAAGCAACATTATTAAAAGACGAAATTCAGTTTGATACTCTTTGGCATTACGCACACTCACAAATCCAATAATCATTTCATTGGATCTGGTCAGTTTCACCCTTAAGTCCTAATATAATGATCGCTGTTTTTTAAAAAGGGCTTATAATGATCAATATTGAGAAAAAAAGTCTATTGTGATTCATATCGGTATAGCTTTTTCATGAACAAACGTGACCACTTCAATTTTTTTACACATTTTTATTTTGTGTCATTTCTAATGTGTAGTGATATGGTGTCTTTAGAGTACTGTATGAAAAAGCTGTTAACATTCAAAATCTGTTAAAAGTTTCCCTTTTTAAAATTGTGTTTGTCTTAGATCGATCAGCTCTTAATGACAACCTCACACTCACAAATCTTGGGGTGATCGATCATTTTCTCACGCAGGTCCTCATCTTTGGAACAAACTACCCCTCGCCATTCGCAACATCTCATCGCTTTCTGAATTTAAAGTTGCCCTAAAGACCTATTTGTTTCAGACCACTCAGAATATTCTTGTTTAGTTAAATTCAATTGTTTTGTTATTTCTGATTTGATATAATTTTTGTTTGCGCCATGAGCGTCATTTATGGCGGATAATGGCGCGGTATAAATTTCCGTTATTATTATTATTATTATTAGCCACTTAACAGCCCATCAATCCTATGAAACTTTTGAAATGTGTTTGAACCTCATGCATAAATGGTGCTTGCTGCAAAAAAAATGAAAAGGGCACAATCAAATACATGTAGGCCTATAACAAAACAAAAGGTGTTTCCATGCTAGATGCAAAGGAAAATAATGCACTCACAATAAGATCCTAATTGTGTAAAAAGTGCATGTATTTGACAGAAGCATGCACCTATCTGAACCGTAATTTACTCCTAAAAGTTAATTGAACTTGTCAGACTCCGACAGAATATAAACATGTCGGATCATTACTAAAAAGTAAAGTGCACTTCAATTATTTGTTATTGGACTCAAATAGCTGTGAGGGTATCCTTTTGATATCAGCAAAATTAGTTTGTTGAAACTTTGCCATTTACAACTCAAACTCTGATGGTTGAAAGTCGTCGTAAAGAAATAGGGCCTACAATATTTTGCGAAATTGGCAAACATCATTGACACGGCATTATGCATGGCACGGCGGCTGTTGCTCATGTACGGTATCGTTCAGCATTGTGCATAAAAACCAACTGCAGTGGTACGGTTTGACCCACTGATCTCCATGTAGTGTGTAAACACAAATGCAATGTTCCTGCGCGCTCGCGCGCAACTTTCCGCGTTGCATGATGGTTGTTTTTTTATTTCACCGTACCGACGCACGGTGTCACGGTCTCACTTCTCCGGCGTGCTAGCTTCTCCGGGTGGATTCGGCGGATAATTGAGCACGTTACAGTGCACGTTACATGAGCACGATACATGCTCATGTGTCCGCTGTGCTTACTTTTCCTCGGGCTGTGTTCTGAAGTCTACCAAGCCCATTAATAACACAGTGAGGGACATCCAAGAATGTGTTATGTAACACTTCCTGATGGGTCAATTAAGTCATTCCATGGTCTTGCAAGCATTCTGATTCGTGTTCCCAGCGTCATGCATGTGTGTGTGTGTTCATGGAGGAATAATTAAGAACGAACTCCTTGATCCGTGTTCTTGCTCGTTCGTGGTCAATATTGTCTTTATTATTGCAACCATGGCTTAAAATAAATGTGCATTTAAATCTTTTTTGTTATTGGGAGTTAATAGTGCGTGCCACGAAAATTCTGGATTGGACTGGTACCCTGTAACCATTAATACAAATAAGATCCTACGTGCACAAGTACAACCCCGAATAACTCGGCACACTAATACAGTGACGAAAATGTACACTACTGCGCAATTTTGTGCATGCGTGTTGAAGCGAAATTTCCCTTTAGGAGAAGCTAGCACGCCGGAGAAGTGAGACCGTGACAACGGTACCTGTCGATGATGTTGCCGCGCCGGATGCGATGACGGCGAACTCCGAAACACGTGACGTGCACGGCGGGTCTGCACATATGGGTCTTCTGCACCTATCATTCACTTCCGCGCTCTATGCCTAGGCCTGCATGGTTTGGACTGATAATTGACGCGGCCATTTTCATCTCTATTTTTGAGGGGCCGACGCGTGCTTGCGATTTTTTTCCCGGTGAGTATAGTACGGTACATTTCAGTGGAGCATAATTATCATCAGGTAAATTATAGCGCTGTTTTAAGCGTTAATTGGAATCTTGGTGTATTGAGCTATAAATAAAATCAACTTGGGTAATGTATTGATTAACGTTAGTATATATCTTTATGACGACGTTAATTCTTTGATATACATCTGTACTCACTGACAGTGATGCTTGACCTGTACAGGTACAAGTAGGCATGCTCACGTTCAATGTTTGGTGAATACCGAGAAAATGGTCAAATACAACTCATGGGGGGGGGGGGGCTGTGTTAAGAATTTGACTGGCTTAACGTGAAGGGTAGGAACTAGTACTACATGTGCACGACATCTACGTGCTCACCATGGGATTCCACAATCAACTCGTACAGACCAGAGTTGCTGACTCGAGTCATGTGACTTGGACTCGAGTCGGACTCGAGTCGCTATTTTTGTAACTTGTGACTTGACTTGTAAATACCAGCTTTGACTTGTGACTTGACTTGGACTTGCAAACAATGACTTGTGACTTGACCTGGGATTACAAACAATGACTTGTGACTTTACTTGGGATTGCAAAAAATGACTTGTTACCAACCCAAGTCAGACGCTACTCGAGCGACCCAATACACTTTAATTAAGCTATTATACTTTTAACTAGCTTTTTCATTCCAGAAAATAGACCTCAGTGACTGAATCCAGTAAAATGAATAGTTCCCACTAGTTTAAAAAGTGTTCAATAAGACTGTCACAACAAACTACAGTTTTCAATGACCAATTGTCTTTTGCTTAATGTATTGGTTGAACAAACTTTGAAAGGAACCTTTCATGAAAAGAAAGAAGGCCTTTGTCAATTGCATGTAAAATACCGGATAGCCTAACCCATTGGTAGGCGTTTAGTATATATGAAAATTGAACAATAAGGTGTTAGTATACTACATGTAATCGAGTGAGGAAGTCTTTTTTTCACGGTCATCTCAACATTTATTTCTACAATGTAAAGTAAATTGATTAAAGTATACAAAGGGCTAATATCCGACAGATATGTGATAAACGACAAGAATTAGTAATTGCAACACATTGAAAAAGGGGAATTAAGGAGGCATGTTCAAAATAACTCGTAAGTTCACGCCAGGTTAATTCTTTTAGCTTATTACAGCTGGACAAAATACTGTGCAACTTGACGTGTTCTCGGACAAAGATACTTGTGACTTGACTTGTTTTTAGACCAAATGACTTGTGACTTGACTTGTGACTGGACCTAATGACTTGTGACTTGACTTGTGACTGGACCTAATGACTTGTGACTTGACTTGGACTTGCAAATAATGACTTGTGACTTGACTTGGACTTGCAAATAATGACTTGCTGCCACCTTTGGTACAGACATGGGTAAATCAACTTGTCCCGCAGTCTGGCATTTTTCACTCTTTGAATAAACATTTAACATAAAGCACGGTAAACTTCTTACCAGATGAATTGATTTGCAGTTGCCTGGCAGAAACAGAATGGATACAACAATATAGGCGAAATATTGCCATCGTTATTTATTTTTCCACCGTCCTACTCCTATTGTAACCTGGCCCCAGAAAAATTAACATCTGCATACTTTTGGAACTGGAATTCTTACGATCCGAATTTGTATCCGTTGTTTGTAATCGTTGAACCTTCAGTCAAAGAGTATTTTAGGACCTTTTCGATTTTAAGCAGTATTCAGTGAATGTGCATACATTTGAATTGTAGTGCCTATATATTAGTTAAAATTACTCATTACGACAATTACTCGCCCTGATGTTCATAAAAGCAATTCAAAATAGCCAAGCATGTCCGTATCTTGTTATTTGTCTGTGGTTCAGGTGCACCTAATGAACGAAGGAAAGGCCTCATTCGACTCAGTGAATAATATAGTACAGCTCCAAATCCATTCACTACAGCTGCAAGCAAGCAATTGGATGCAGGGTTGATAGCTCTCTTCACACTAATTGGACTATTCCTGACCTTGGTGGTTGCTATATGTAAGTGATATTTTATATTTTGGATGATCAATAATGCTTGCATTAGATAATTACGATTGCTGATACGAGGGTCGATTTTGTGTCTTTGTTTTTAAAGAAATTTGGGGAATTAAATTTTATTCATCACTGAGGAATTCGCCACATAAATTCTCTGTGCAAACATTTGGCTTATTTTTAAGTCCTTGATCCATGTCATTTATCCACATTCACGTGACTACACACCATGATCATGATACGCCTACTTCCTCCGTGTGCTATACCAGAATTATTTTGTCACAACACGTCGTCAGTGAACCATACATCTAGCTAGTTAATTAATAAAACTTAAACATACATTCCAAAAACCCAGAACCAAAGCCAAAGGATGCCCCGACACGATCATGGCCGAAAAGTTTGAAATTGAAGCTGAAAATTAATAGCTAAATTGTAAGCTACATGAAGGCGTAGGCCTACACAAAAATAATTAATAATACTATGAGGATTCGATCCTCAAAACATTTCAAGCTCGGCCAACTAAAAGGGATCGAGTTTTACATGCATTCCTAGAGGATATTAAGTCGTATCATTTATCAGCCTCAGCTACCCTGTTTTTAGCTGTTTGTGACGTGTGATGGAGCATTCTGATCACAATTATATGATTATACGTTTATATTGGTTTTTTTTTGGGGGGGGGGGGCCGCGGGAAGGGGTAGGTATTGGTATTGCCGATGGGATAAGACTCCCTTTGCCAAACGTCATAGTTAAACTGTGCCCTTATATCCTGTTTTCAGTGGTGTTTCTGTTCGGCACCGCCGTGGTTGGTAAATGCCGGAAACTGATGCAACCTGAAGGTGAGGCACTGTCTTGGAATTGTGATCAATTCTATGGCAATAAGGTACTTTTTCCCTTCATTTTCCTAACTTTACCCCCTGTTACTTATCTTAACAAAATTAATATATAATATGAATTTGCACAAAATTCGTTCTTTGGGGATAAAAAGGAAACACCCATCACATCACCTATAAAATGTGTCCAAAACCTAAAAAAAATCATTTAAAATGAAATCCTTCCGTCCGATCGACTAGATCAACTGTTATTTCATGAGAGCAGGGAAAACCAGCACATACAAACCAACCAGATTTGGGGAGGGGATAGAACTTAACGCTTGATTTGATCATAAATAGTATGACTTTAAAGGGTTTCCACCTTTACTTTCCAGAGCAAACGCATACTGGGAATCACACCTCTTTGGAGATGGAGCAACCAAATGGTAATTGAAAATGTTTGTTTTACAACTGAATCAAAGCGCATAATTGACGACTATTTAGAGTTGAGGCTCTTTGAAACAATGTCTGTTTTTTTCGGGAATAGCCTTTCAGAAAACAATCTTATACGTTTTCCAGAAAGCTAAGGTTTCGTTTTTGTTACAGTCTCTATATTTACTTTGTATCTGCAGGTCAGAAGACAAGTCTTGAAATACTCTATGGACTGCGAATGACTTTCACATATTTATTTTTCTCATCAGCCGAGTCTCATGGCGCTCATAGCGATCAGCCGGACGCGAGTGCTGGAGGGGGGTCGTCTGCTAACGAGCCAGGCCGTGGCGCTGGGAGATCGGTACACATTGAAAAACTTAACATCACTGGGGAAGACTGCCCATTCATTGGCGAAATTAAAAGCAGCAAGATCAAGTTTAAGGGACAGCAAAGGAGTGCAAGACAAAATGAAACCGACTCAAGTATGTACAGTATTTCTTTAAACCTCATTATTCACGACAAAACATTGTACGTGTAGGGTCTGTAGTTGCTGTAAATCAATTCAAATTGTGAAAAAGCGTTTTTGCAATTTGTTTTTGATACAATACCAAATTTCTGCAACAGCTTAATCCAAAATTCAGATTCATATTTAAAAGTTAGTTAATTCAGATTCAGTGAAGACTAAACGACGCCACATTTTACCAGGATCAAACAAGAATGCATGGTCCTAAGAAAGTCTTCTCAATCGCCCTTTAAGAAAGGTTGTAGTTTGGCACAGTTTTGCACGTTTTAATTACTTTGAATTATACGCTGCCGATATAATGTTATTCTGATCAGAATTTTTCCCAGTTTTTCTTTCAACTTGAACAGTTAAAAAATTCTCCCGAAGTTATCAAAGCTAAAATATAAGCAATCTCCTAACCATTCGACAATGGATCATCCTTTGTATCATATACAGCAGTAGGAGGTCAGGAACCCGACACGATGGAACAGCCTAACCCACCTGGTGCGCCCGTTGGCGGCGGTAGACCTATGGGAAGCAGTGGGGGCTTCAGTGGTGGGACGGAATTCAGAATTGAGAATTTAAATGTTGGAGGGTCTGGCAATCCTGTTATTGGTGTGGTAGAACATTCTGACATTACATTTTAAAATAGCTTTTACTTAAACGGTCCCACAAAACACGACAGTCGCAGTCAAAAATCTGCAATGCCTCATTATTACATTATTAAAGTATAACATTATTTGGAATTTCAAGTTGGTTACACCAATCCATTCAGAAGCAATTATTGCAAAATCTCGAATGAGTTGCACTGAAAACTTTTTGTTTCATTTCTGAGTTTTGGTTCGTATGAAATTATGAAAAACAACAAGGCTTAACATTCCAATTATCGTTTGCCTTTCTCGATGCAATTGTCGTTTAATCAACTAGAAAAAAATAGAGCGCCGTTAATTGAATGCTTGATTTGGCATTGATGTATACTATGTCTAGTGCACCTTGACACTCACATAAGAAGGCAGGCCTAGCCTAAGCATATAGACACAGAATTTAGGATTTCTTGGGACCAATCAAACTAAACACATTGTAGTAACAAGTCCATAAACTAATGCGAAGATTCACTTCATTGGGCCCATATTAAATTTTTGTGAGTATTCATTTAATAAACTTGGAATAGCCAAATGTATTTTTTCTGAAATATTACCAATTTGATGACACTAGCTGTGTTTATTTTCTTACATTTATGCAGAAGAATGAGCAGAAAGATAACCGACATATTAAAAAAAAAACCAATCTAGTGAAATCAAAAATGCTGCATACAATTTGGGGATATGCATTTCACCACTAGGTCTATAATGATCCCTGCATGCTTCTTAAAAAAGCTAGCTTTTAGATTTTCTTCGCATTTCATAAAAAAAGTACCGCACTTATAATTATCAAAATTGAAAGAAGTCTATTTTGATATATATCGGTTTATTTTTTCAATCAAATGTGACCTCTTCAAATTTTTAACACTTGCTTTTTAAAATCAGATACTGGCTAATGTGCAAAGATCTGGTGTTTTTAGAGTACTGCACAAAAAGCTGTTTACGCATGGAATGAATGTACTAGAATTTGCAATAAAAAAATCGTTTGTCTTACAGTTTGTTAATTTTTGCAGGTTCAATCAATTCTTGCTTAAAGCCCCTGTTAGCTCAGCTGTCCTGTAAAACTTATTTTTTTTTTAATCTTTAGATGTATTTATCTCACCCTGCAATGGTGCTTGTTGCAAAATAAAAAAAGGGGCACAACAAAATAAAATAAAACACAACAAAGTTAAGTTGTGTCCAGGCTACATGTTAAGGAAAATAATGCACTTGCAAGGGCGGATCCAGAACAGATTTTTTTTTTTGGGGGGGGGGCTTAAAAACAAATTTGGTCCCCCCAAATAGTGGGGTAAAAAATTACGGTGTGGGGTTCGGGGCCTCTATGGTGCGATCTGAGGCAATTTCTGACAACTTTGACCATTTTTTTTTGGAGGTGGTGGTGTACGTATGCCTGCCTTTATAGCGACGTCACTTAAAAAATCCACCCTTGTGCACTTGCAATGAGATCTGAACTGCGTGCGTAAAAGTGCATATTTGACAAAAGCTTGTACTTGAACATTCTTTACTCCTAAACGTTGAACTTGTCGGACTCTGACAGAATATCAACAGGATCTCAGATCATTATAAAAAGACACTTCCATTATTTGTTATTTGGACTCAGCTGTGAGGGTATTTTGAATAGCAGAAAACGTTTTGTGGAAAGGTGGCAGGCACGGTTTGAACTGAGATTTCAGTGCTAAAGGTGCAAAGTCTACGGGGTGCTTGACGAAGTAATGCTGGACGTATGAAGATGACGACGATCGTACCGAATGGTTTGGAAGCATGTCGCTGATAGGCTGACGAAACGTTGCACATTTACACCCTAAACTCTGATTGGTTGAAAGTAGTATTAGGAATAGAATATAATAAGGCGAAGTAAAAAAAACCCGTTTTTCGTCCCCGCCCGCTTCCTTTTTGCAGGTCGCTTGGATTTTTTTATTATTTTTTATTTTTGAAAAATGCAGTAAAAAAACACCAAAAAGTCCACAAATTCATCGCAAAATAAGTACTTGCGAAATATGTGACCAATACAACACTAAATGACACTGTAAAAATGTTCGGTTCTCTTGTCCAACTTTTCTTTCATTTTAAAAGTGTCTTTGAACGGTGGAAACACCAACGGTTGCAGGAAATTTTAAAATGGCGGCCATCTTAAAAAAAAATAATAAAAATAAAAAATAAAAAGCCCCTCTTCCTCCTTTTTTTCTCAAAAACCCGGACGAGAAAGTTCTTTCGGCCTAATACAATGATTATAATTAAATAAACGAAACAGGCAAGTTGTGCACGTGCAAGATTTGCAAACAGCGGGCAAAAATTGGGGACCGATCGATCGAGGGAGAAATAATTTTATTTTTGTCTAAATTATGATTTCTTTTGCAATATACGATGACACACAGCGTTGCACATTTTTTTCGTTCACCATTATGCATTGCCAACTAAACTGCACTCGGCATGTATTAAACACAGCTAGCTGCGTGCTGGTTGTTTTTTTTTTCACCGTACGGTGTCGAAGTTCACGGATGCATTATATACATAGTGACAATGAATTGACATCCGAACTCCGACCGTGGATCGATCATGTCACTTCCACGCTAACTCACAGTGCAGTGAGTTAGAATTGACTGGATAGAATTGGCACTACATGTATTTTCATCTGGGCATGCAGTGCTAGTGACTTTGTTTTCCGGTGAGTAGGGTGCATTTAAGTAGAGCATACTAATATTAATCATTACATGTAAACACAGTGCTGTTTAAGGCGCTGTGTGGAGCTAAACAAAATCAGTGGTTTAATTAATCAACAGTAATATCGATATAGGGCCTAAAGATTAGTTTTCCGGTCTCTGATGCGAGACTATGCAATGCGAGACCAAAATACTCTGTTCTTGGTGGGTTTTTTTTGGGGGGGGGGGGTGCTGATGTACAATGTACCAAGTGTGTGGTCGGCTATAATGTGTAGAAACCAGGACATGGGATTCCCCGAAGGTTTCTAACCAATTATATTATAGGCCTATACTAGGCAGATTATATTGTGATCATCATGAAGGAATTTCTTAAATCCTCATTTATTTTGTATTTATACAACACCTGAATAAATCCCCGTCATCTGATTGGTGAATTGTAGATCACGTGACATATTATTATTCGGTATAATGCACGGTGCGACCATGCGTTATACCCATGCGTTATACCGTTTCACTTTGCGCTTGTTCCATGACGCGGTATTTTGTGTGCAAAATGCATGCTGGTGTGCGCGTTCAGCGTAGCGCGTATTGTTCCAAAGAGCCAGCGCTACAGCGTTGGGTTCAAACATTTTCGTGAAGGGGTAGTTCAACATCTTTAAAATCAAAATAAATTGTAGTTTATAATTTACCAATCAAATGACGAGAATTTATTCAGGTGTTGTATAAAACAAATAACGAATGTTTTACGTTCGTGCGATGGAAAGAATAATTTCATTCGGTGACAGATTGAATGTTCTATTCCACTCGGCTTCGCCTCGTAGAATAGAACATTCAATCTGTCACCTCATGAAATTATTCTTACCATCACACTCACAAACATTCGTTATTTGTATACTGTCAGTCATTTGCTTTTACTCGTTGAACCTTCAGTCAAAGAGTGTTCAGGACCTTTTTGATTTGTAAGCAGTGCATTCAATTTGCATGCATTTTAATTTTAGGCATTATTATAGCGTTGTTTGGGTTAAAATGACTTATTACTAGTCCTAGATTTTATAAAATCAATTCAAAACAGATCATAGTAACCGTATCTTTTTATTTTTCTGTGGTTCAGGAGCCCTACTGAACGAAGGGGAGGCCTTAGTTTGACTTGAATAATATTTATTATTATAACACCTCACCCACAGATTCTGTGTCTTGATTGGCCGGGAGCGAGTCACATGTTACTTTCTAATTTTGCTATCTTTCTGTGCACGGCCAAAAGTACTATGCGCATAGCAACCAAAGTACTATACCATTAGCAACCAAAGTACTATTTTCACGGCGCGGTATTTGTGTGCAAATGCATGCTGGTGTGCGCGTTGCGCGTTGCGCGTTGTGAGTAGCGCGTATTATTCCAAAGAGAGCGCGCCGCAGACTTGGGTTCAAACATTTCGTGAAGGGGTAGTTTTTAAGAGAGAAATACATTTTCCACCAATTTTGTATCGAAATTGAAGTTTATTTCAGCTGTGTTCAGATTTAAATAATTTAAAATATTAAAATCAAGCAGAATCTATGGGTGAAGTGTTATAAAACAAATATTAAATGCTTTATCTCGTGGTGAAGTAAAACTAGCCTCCCTCGGTGATGGATCACCTCGGGAGGCTAGTTTTACTACACCACTCGAAGCATTCAATATTTGTATATTAGGCCTATACTCACTACAGCAGCAAGCACTAAGGCATTGGTGCAAGATTGATACTAGCTGTCCTAACAATAGTTCTACTATATTCCTTAGGTCGATCTTTTAAGGGCCTAAAAGTAAAAGATTTTTAATTTTTTGTAGAATCAATAGCTTGTATTAAATAAATTTTATTGTTCTTTAGTCATGTTCCCTAACGTGGCGCACTTCGACATAATTCCTCCAACTTAATGTCCTCATGCAGTGTTGCCAAATTTCTTTGTTGACAAACTTCAAATTCATTCAGTGAAATACCGGTGCTTTTACCTTATTAATGCTTGCTATTTAACCTCTGTGAACAATTTCGGTGTCATGAAATTTAATCTGAAATTCAACAACAGTGGCGTCAGGAAATTGGGCACAACATTGGCCGAGTGTTCCCTAACGTGGCGCACTTGAATAAAACTCGGAAAATTTCACATTAACATTTAAGAATTTCTGTAAAGTTGACAAATTCTGATAAACCATCATTATCTTTACTTACATACCCAACTAGAAGTTTGCCAGAAAATTATTTTTTTTGTTTAAGGACATTTTCAAAGAGTTCATTGTGCACTTCGAAATAATCAAATAAAATCGTAAAATCACGAAGAGGTAACTTTTTCTTCTAAATTTGTAACGCGTAGTAAACTCGTGATTTATGAATGGGAGTGTTTAGAACTCGATGAAATATCACTTTTTGTGAAATGTCAGTCAAAACTTGCTTTTGCTCTAGCTAGGCGCCACAGCAAACAATCAAAGCGCGCCATGTTATGGCCCAGCCTCAATAACAATAAGAATTACGATTGTTGAGGCCCGAGGGTCGATTTTGAGTCCTTGTTTTTAAAGGAATTTGGGGAATTAAATTTAATATTTCAATAAGAAATTCACCTCATTAGATTTCTGTGCAACTACACACCATAAAGCAGTATTCTCCGGATATACATGCACTATGTATCGTATACGCGCTACTCGCAACACGTTCTCCAGCCCCCAAAACCACAGCGCCCCAGAGGGCGCCCCTATGTATACACGATATATATGGACGTGAACGACGCGAAGAATCCCACAAGCTTTTGACGTTTCCCGGATGGTTAATGCTCACAAAACTGCACCTCAAGTGTCAGAACACATAGCTGAATACTCTCAAACATATCAATTTAAAAACCGAGCACTTCAGGAGCTGAAATTAAGCAAAACGAGACTTACCGACAGGAGAGGCTTCAGCTGCTGGTCGGTGCGAAGTTGCAAGATGCCGTATTACCGATCAAGGCTAAAATATTCGTCAGCCTAATAAGTAATTTCTTTTCAAAAAATAATTGATATAAAATCTCTTTACACATTTGTCTTCAAAGCCAGTCTACAATGTTTTACACAAATTACAAAATGAGTTGACACACCAGACACAAAATAATTTAGGCCTCGTGAGCTTGTTTCTATTTTCCATCGGCGCATTAACACCATAAAAAATCAATAAAAGCATGGTGCAATAACATCGTGCATTTCTCATCCATTTTTTTTTCATAAGCGACTTGGGAGACCAGCTAGTGCATGAGAGTAAAATATACGAATGAAAGATAGAACGTTACGATAATAATACCCACTGTGGCACGCCATGATGTCAATTTTCCTTTCTTTTCCAGGTCAAACACAGGCTGCAGTTTACAGCTTTCTAGGGATGGAACAAAGCGGTATTTGTATATTTCATTTCAGAATAATTAAATCAATTTGAATTTGTCTGTCAAGATGAACATGTAGCCTTAAAACAAGTATGTACATAAGTGTGACGCTGTATGTTTTGTTGATTTCTCTTTTTTTCTGTTCGTCACAATTTTTTTTTTATCTCAGTTTGGAGGGGGAAAAAGCTAACTTCAAATTCTTATCATTTTGTTTATTAGCAAGCATTCAGCAGCCTTCAACCGATGAAACAGATGCGACCCCAGTCAGGGATCCGTCAGGCGCTCCTAGTGGGGACGTCGGTGCCGGAGGGCCAGCAACCCAGGCTGGCGCCGATGCAAGCAGCGGTGCTGGCCCAGGGGGAAGGTCGTCAGCTCCTCAGGCTACTGCAGCCCGCAGCGCTGGTGGACCAATGATTGGTGAAATGTTAATCACAGGGGAGCAGTGCCCATTCATCGGTCATGCAGAAGACACCGAGTTTGAGTTTCATTCGGTGAAAGCGACAGGAGGACAAGCGGGACCAATGCCAAATGAAAGTGACCCAAGTATGTTAAAGTGATAATTGTGCACGGCCTTGCAGTTTTTCCAAAATTAAATAAATACCTTGAAATATGTACCTGGATGCCCCATTTATCTTTACTTTCACTCATTGTATTGTTAGTTCGAAGATACATCAAGGTCTTTTTGATGAGGGTTTCATGTTAATACAAATTTCCATAGACCAGTGACCATTATGTAGGGCCTACTCATCCTGGATAAATACATAAAAAAACATTCAGTGACAGTGGATAACATTCTGTACAACTGCCGATAGAGAAAACTTATGGTATCAAAAAGGACAGATTAAACCTTTCAAATGGTGGAACTAATTTTAAGGGGCTCCCCCGAACCAACAAAGATTTAAAAAAAAAAAATCAAATAACAAGATTTGTTTAAAACTCATTAGTGTGCCTCCTCCAGAAAATGGGGCCTCCAAAAAAGCTCAAAGTGCTGTCCTGGAATTTACACCTGTCCACTCATTCTTAATTGCAGTTCGCGACCTTGAAATTAACTTCATTTTTTTTCACGGAAAGTCGAACACAGTACTTTTCTCTACTAAAGCTAAAATATTAAGTTCTCTTCCGACTATCCATCTTCGATCTAAAACAAATTCAGGGATTGTTATTGTCTGTTTTCTGAGTTTGGTTTACGTTTTTGGTATCTTTTATGTATAGCAGGTCGACAGGCAACAGAAAGCATGAGGCAGACCAACCCACCAGATGTGGTACATATACAAGGTAGCAGCAGTGTTTACAGTGGTGGGGCTGGTGTCGGCAGCGGGTCAGTGGATGGAAGTGGGCCCAGAATTGGCAAACTGACAATATCTGGATCAAATAATCCGGTCATTTTGGATGCTACAAGGACCAAGTTTACCTTTATAAGTACTTCACATAAAAAGTGAATGTGTCAACTGTAATCACTATAACAAATCACAAAAAATGATCAGTGTCAATTGTCAATCGGTCTTTACGGTATTACATTTGTACCATCTTGCCAAACAAAAAAATTGACATTAAAGAAAAAAAGCAATTGCAGGAATGATTGCAAAACTCCTCGATAATGAGTTGCCAGATGAAACAAATTTTCATCAACTCATATGGAATGATTTAGATGTACGTTATTGCCGTTAAAATATTTGTCCTCTTAAATCATTGTGTGACTTAGACGACCAAAAAAAAAGTAGCGTAGGCATAGATGCAGTACTAATTACGTGGCAACGTATGTCACCACATGAAACCTAACGAGTATGTGGAGCAAAGAAGTTAAAATCAAAATGCAACAGCTTATTTTTGGCACTTTCCTATATACAACCCCTAATTAACCAATAACACTAAAATTAAAACAAATGCACATCATCCACACTGGTCCAAAAAGTAATGTGATATTTATGATATTAATGTATATTAACTGAATTGAAAAGGATTATGCAAATGTAATTGTTTTGTCTGAAATATGCCATGAACTGATTTTTTTTTTATTATTTACGCTGAATTGGCAATACTTTTTTTCGGCCATGCTGCACAAAATGTATGATCTCTTCAAGTACTTTGTGAAAAATCACTATTGAATAATATCAATTTGATTGTAAGTGGTAGATATAATTTCCAATCAAATTGGATTTTCTTAAAACTATTTTTCTACTGTTTATGAACAAACTGTGTCTGCCTGTAAATGTGTTGCCATTTGAAAAATAAACGTTTTAAAATCTGTAATTGTAAAGCTCTTTCTAGTCCTACATCTGGTTTATTCTTGCAGGATCAACCCGTTGTCCAGCACACACTCTGTTCAGTATTCAAGTCAAGCTCTTGTAAACTTAACCGACTGGACCGAGGAAGCTTTTGTCAACTGAATTATTATGACTTTTCTTTCATGCATCTGCTGAATCTGCCAATTTTTTTTATATCCTACCAAAAATGGCAAAATGGCAAAAACGGTGAAGTACAGTGTGTGCCCCCCCCCCAAAAAAAAGCAGGGCACAGCGTAAGGGTTAACATATCTAGGAGCTGGATTCAAAGCAAAAATCACAATTGACATCAGAAGGATACATGACATGTTCCAGAGAGGTCTAGTCCTTAATATTCTTTATTTCACAAATGTGAGTCATCAGACTCAAACAAAACATAAAAGGAGCTTAAATGAAATAAACAAAATACACAAACTAAAAAAAAAAAAATCAAAATTGCCTCCAAAATTACATTTTAAGAATGTTATAAGTCCCAGTATAGATGTGTCTGGAATAAAGCATAATACATGTAAAAAAAAAACAGGGCCAACTGTTCTCCTAGTATTTACACTTTTCATAGGAAAACATCTCTTAATGGGTGGGCACTACAACATCCTCAAAAGTGTTGAATCCTCAAAAAAGTATTGAATTGTGTGCCGCAGAGATGCAAATGTTAACGTAGTGCTGTGCTTGTCAATGCCGGTGATGGGCACAATCAAATTTCTTATTCGTGGGTCTTTTAACTATTAACTGACGTAATCAGTGGCAACTGTTTAATGTAATAGATGAGAATGTTAGAATTTGAATCACTACAGCAGCTTTCTATCTCTCACGGCCTCGAAAGAAGACCTAAATTGAGGGCGCTATACATCTTATCAACAACTGTCTTGACAAGGCACTTAGGATACAAGGTAGCCTTGTATCCTTGTTTCTGAAGATCCTTTCTGTACGTCACTGTCGTCACGTCACCCAACAAGGGTGTATTAAAAAAAATTATGTTGTCATGATTCTGGAATTCAAAGACTACTTCCCAAATGTGTCCAAACAACCATACGCAAGTTGGGAGTCAAGTCCGATGTCATCATGATGTCAACAGAGCATGATGGCTGTCATCATTGGCTTCCATAAACGATCAATCTTACTGCAGGTCCTTTGCTCACTTTCCTGGTACTCCGTTATGGAACCAGCCAAGGTATATGCACATAAAATATCACCCACCGTGAAATACAAAGCTGCCAGTTGCTATGGCAATGACCTTCTGACCTTCAAGTGATGTCATCAGGTGGGTTCTTCTCGGATCACTTGGCACCAGAGAGCACTCTCTTGAAGCCGGAAGTCGTTGAGAAATATCCGGCATTTGCCTCCGAGGCTTTTTTCTCAGCTGCCTGGGGGTTGACAATCTCCAAACCCTGCCGAGGAAAAATAGTAGATAAGTCTTGTATACAAATCTTTATAGCATTGTTAGACGCCATTGTCATCCAAATTGGGCATGTTCTTGATCAGGCAGTGACAATTCTCTCCAAATCGGCAAACAGAAATAATTCTAAATTCGTAAACATTTCTTTAACTCTAAGGACTTTCAGTTGTGTTGAAAAAAAAATAGACCAGCTCTTTGAGAATTTATCACAAGTTGATGTGTTGATAATTTTTATACAGGAACAATTATTTCTCAACAAAACAACAATAAAACTTCATTTAAAATTAAAGGTTTTCATCTTTCAAAGTTACTTTGCTGTAATTCACCTACTAATAACTCTTGTTTACCTATTACAACCCACATATGTAAAAAGTAAGAAGTTGACAGCATAATGCATCAAACCTTCTCATGGTCCTTTTTTCTTATTTAATTAAGACAGTTTTGTTAAATGTTGCAAATTTTACAATATGGATCACACATCCGAATGAAACAAATGATGAATTAAACAGAATCCATTGAAATCCTACCTGGAGGGGTGTAAAGGCAACACTTGAAGCTGTGCCTGACGTCTCCCTCCCTCTTACTGTGGATCGACCGCCGTGGGTCTGCTGGCGCTGTAACTGACGCTGTGAGCAACAAGAAGACAAACAACAGACGAGAAAATACAATGTAATTAGCAAAACTATAGGTCACAGCCACAATGTCTTGCAAGGTGTACTGACTTGAATGGTCCTCAGCTGCTTCCTTGCTTAAAAAAACATATCAGTTTGCTTTGAAACTTAATGGAATTGGGCCCAAAGTTAAATTTCATTGCTCTGCTACCGTTACCGAAAATTCCCCGCTTACCGCAGCAGAAAATTCTGTGCCTGCGGTTCACTTATTTCATGGGTTGGCAAGGCATTTTGGCTTCTGGGCATGCATGCATCCCGTAACTAAGGATTTTGTGCTTACAGGAGTAATTCACTACGGCATGGTGATCGTAAGCGCGAAATTCTGTGCTTAGCAGAGTCATGAAATTGGGCTCAGGTTGCTTGCCAAAATCTCTGGCAATGTGTTTGGTAGGAATTGGCAGAAACGAGAAACTGGTTGTTTTTTTTGACTTGGCCTTACCTGGTCCCTAGTCTACCCACCTGTAAGCTCTTGGATAGCTTGACCTGTGTCTTGTTATCAACCTGCGGCCCTCGTATCCGGCCCGTCCCTCCCTTGCCCACCTGACCCAAAGAGAAGCCAAGATCGTCTTGGTAGGCATCATCCTCAATCTCCCCAAATGTCATCCGATTGGCTGCCTTGCGCATGCTGGTCATGCCCAACTTCTCTTTCATCTTGCGGACTCTGAGTGGTTGGATGAAGACACACAAGAGGGCTCATATTAGTCTGGTTGTCTAAAGTAGTACCATCGATGAGTTCATCACAATTTCATCACAAGTCTGGTCCGAAGTAAATGATCGGTCCTTTTATAAGTCCAGCCACAAGTAACAGGGGATAAACACTATTCAAAGGAGTGGTTTGTCGTAGATCGTTTGAAAACCTTGTGACTCGAAATGAGGCTGGAGAACGTACAAAGGACTTGTGAGGACTTTTGAGGACTTGTGAAGATTTGGGAGGATTTGTGAGGACTTGTGAGGACCTGTTAGGGACTTGTGAGGACTTGTGACAACATGTGATGGCTTGTGAGGACTTGTGAGGACTTGTGATAACATGTGAGGACTTGTGAGGTTTTATGAGGACTTGTGAGGTTTTATGCGGACCTGTAAGGACTTGTGAGAACTTGTGAGGATGTGTGAGGACCTTTTGAACATTTTGATGGTCTCAGCTACAACACTGCTCACAACCTTTAAGAGGATTTCTTGATGTGTTAGCTTAGTTTTTACCTTCGTCCACCTCGTTTCTTCCTGCTGACGTCGATGGGAGCCGGTAGAGCCTTCGCCTGTTTAGGAGGAGGTGGCTCTTGTAGCTTGGACAACCGACGTTCTATCTCCTCTCTAAAGTTCAAACCAATCGTAGCATTGGTGCTCTCATGGAAGCTGTCTACCCTGGCTGCAAGGGTGCATTTGCCTGACACGAGACGTGCCGCTTTCTTCCTTAAATCCTGGCGGTTGTAAGGAAAAACAAATTATAAGGGTAGCATATTTAATGACGCATTGGCATGGAACTCGGTTCTGGTATACGAGAGGTTAGCACACTTACTGGATTAGTTGCCTGGACAAGGTCACTGTAGTAGATGTAGCCTGTGTGAGGGTTTGTTGCCACACTGGAGAAACCTGAGAGTGTCTTCCGCTGTGCTCCTAGGAGCAGGATGTTACAAGATGGCATCTTAGAGAGGTTGGTTAAGCCTCCTGCTGCTCCTACAAGTAGGAATTGTAACAATCATTCAAAAGACTTGTCGTCAGTGGATACTGCATCAAGAGGCATAGCAATTAGAACGACAACTTGAATTTCAATTCATGACTAGTCGTGTTGTCACAAATTACCATTTGCTTTTGGCACCATTTATGAACTTGCATAAATTTACACTGTAAAACATTTAAGGATTTTTGACAATGTCTTACCCATGATCTTGGCAGCCGTTGATGAGCCGACTATGATGGATAGGTTGGGTGCAATGAATGACATACGGGACTCCACGTAAGCTTGGATTTGTGACTTGGCTTCGTTCAAATCAAAGGCCTGCAACAGATGAAGATTATGGAAATACTCAATGGCTACGACTGGCAGAAACACACGTCAATGAGAAGTGGCTGCAGCCGCTTCCAAAGCCGCATGAGTAATTTCAAGCCGTAGCCATGTCATTCAGATGCGGCTCATGTGTCAAGATTTAACGCTCTTACGTACCATGTCGCAAGCCTCATAGACGGTAGCCAGTTCTTCGTCTGTCAGCTCTGTCCCCTGGGTGGTGGAGGCTGACACACTCACCACCATTATCACCGCATTTGTCAGGATGTCTTGCAGCTGCTCATTGGTCTTTGTGTTGTCGAGAGTGTTGCCCAACTCCTGTAAACAACAAAATGACGAGGGCTATTTCTTTTGGATTCAAATTTTGTTTACCCTATCTTTCTCAGATCCTTCATACATCATAACATTTTAGGCAGATTTTGCAGGATTCAGTTAAGTACATCCCAGTAGCTATGACGTTAAAGAGGCCGACACTCAAAAAAATCAATTGACTGATCCACACAAGCTCAAGTGGTCAAGACATCTGCACTAGTAAGCAGGAGGTCATGGGTTCAAGTCCCACTCAAGCCAGTCTTCGCGTAGGTTCTGAGATAGCACTAAGAATATAATGCTAACAAACTAATCAGGGGTGTGAGTGACCACTGATCAAAATAGCTGAAAACAGCTGGAAAAGGTGTAAAAAAGCTGAACTTTGGAAATCTCCTGTACTTTTGTACACAGCAGTGAGGGAGAAAAGTGAGGGAGAAAAGCTGAAATCTAAAACAACAAAAAAGCTGAAATCAGCTCTATAGCTGAGAATTCACACCCCTGCTAATGTTGGTAACAGAATCCAATACTGAAAAATTACAAATCACGAACACAAAAGTAGAAGGTTCTGAAGGATTCGGTGAGGTTCTAACTTATTGGCAAAATAAATTAAGGGAGTTTGGGTCAAATGTACAAAATACTTTACAAGAAGTCCGTATTGAAATAATGTATTAGTGGAATCATAACTGGTGACACTGCGTAGCTGCACAAACCTTGACTGTTTGCAGGTACTCTTGGGGTGTGGGGACCAGTGATTCTAGCTCAGGGAAGCGTTTCTGGTAGTGATCTCGTACAAACTTGTGAATGATGTCTGTAAAGAAAACAAACACCAAATAGTGCAGAGAACAATCGGTCCAAACACTTTTTAATAAACTGCACAATTTAATTGGTTAATATCAGTTACACTGTTTATTGAAACATTTTGTGTATAACTCTTTAAGTGCGGTGGTAGAAATACACAAGTAATGTTCACCAGGACGTGAACGTGTTAATGCAAACATGTTCATGTCAACATAAAAAGACATCAAAAATAGAACCTACAGACTGCTTTACAGCAAAAACATCAATAATATTTTCTTACATTTTTTCAAAGGGGGACGATCCCCCTTTTGGATGTCAGACCAGTTGGGGAGGGGGGGGGGGGGTTTGACAATCCAAAGGGAGGGGGGGGGGGGGCTGTTACGGTCCAAAAGGGAGGGGGGAGGGAAGGACCTCTAGCAGCATGTGGCACCCTAGACATTACCTTGGGGCCATTTGCACACTCGAATGTTAAACAAAAATACACGGACCACTCCAAAATGGTCAGAACCAATAAAATGTATCTTACTGATTTCATTGTCAATCTCCACACTCAGGTTGTTGGCTTGGACGATAAGTTGATATTCTGGATCTGCCTCCACTGGGCCAACCACTGAAATAATAATCAGTAATCAAAAGAGAAAAGCAATTAATCAAACAAAAAAGCAAGAAACCATCAAAAGAGGAATCCAGCAACATTATGAAACAATTGAGGGAGCACGACAATTCAGGTTACTGCGATGCGTAGAAATCCAGACAACGGGATTTTCATCCTGATGTCTTCATTCTGGTTTGATGAAATTGATGAAATTGGCCCAAATATTACCTTCTTCCTTCCTTGGATTTTCTTGGAAATATTCGATCTGTGCCATCACATTTTTCAACTGTCAAGAAAAATAATATTTAAAAAGCTGGTTATATTTCTATTCAATTAATAAAAAGGTTGTCAACATGTCAAAAATATTGTTTCAAAGCCTTTGATCTTATGAAAATGTGAACTTAACTACAAGGCCGCTCTTCGTTTGAGCGAGACTAATTACAGAAGGGAAAAGCACCTTCTAAATTGTCAAAATAATGAAAACCACATCAACGACACAAGATTTCTAGCACCTCAACCTCACCAGAAGCTGTGAGTGCAACATGTGTATGTCTGGTGGTGAGACTGACATTTAAGAGGTGGCATTTAAAAGCGATGTTTTTTCCCCTGTAAATTGGAGGGTGATTTGTTCAATAATTAAATGCACTGTGCTGAAATTCAGGCACTTGAAAATAATCAGAAATGAATTAACTGCATTGGGATTTGAAACTCAAGACAAAATCCTTTTCATGTCATGTGCTGCTCAGCTGCTGATGTCAATAAAACAGCTATCAGTACCCATTTCATGATAAAACAATGCATATTGAAATAATGAAGTCCTAACTGGGGGGGGGGGGGGAGGAGAGATTGAGGGAAAGGAAATGTTATTGTTACCTCTTTACTATGTCTTAGTTTAGCGATGGACGTGATGGAATCTGCCTTTGTATCCACATCCATCCCAATCTCATCCACATCTTGGATGTCTTCATCTTCATCGTTGACAGCCTCGGCTTCAACTCCTTCCTCCGCAATCTCCTCCAAGTCTGCCAGAAGCTCATCAGCTAAAGACATGGCTACACCTCATGCAAACTGGCTTCAGTTCACTATAAAAAAAAAGGAAATAATTGGGACTTCATTGTCAGCTTCATATCATGCCCATGAGTAGTTGGAAAAACCATGTAGAGCACGCCGCTTTGGTGGCGTATGGGGAGTAGTGGAAGTTTAAAGTGTGCCAATTTTTTACCAATTCGAAATCTTCTGCAGTTTCACAATCACATTTTTAACACATATTTAATACTTAATAGGCCTACTTATGACAATAACGATAAAATAAGTTGAATAACAAAAATAACAAACAATACAATTACAAACATCAAAATGCCCCCCCCCCCAATAAAAAAAACAAGCAAATCTTAACATGCTTAATGTCCGGAAACTGGACTCGCTGCAAATCTGACTTTGAAAACAATTAATAAGTCTTACAAAACCCAATAAGTACTTGAAAACAAACCAAAATGTGAATTTGTGCACTTTACCTCTAAATTGATTGTTGTTAGCCGTGAAATGCAGAGCCTGTTGACAACGCGATGCCGAGTATTAAAAAATAAAAGCAACCAGCTGAACCAAATTGTGGAAATTTCGTTTCAGTGCACGAGTTTTGAAGGGCGCCCTCCTTTGATCAGTCGCCGAGCCCACCGCAACTTTATTAGAAAATTTCACTTTTTAATAATTAACACAAAAAAATGATTACATGTACTAACATTTAAGGGGATATTAGAAACTAGCGACTATGTATGGGGCAAACGCATGGAAAAATAGGTTGGGCGAATTAATGCAGCCCCAAAATGATCTTTTTTGGGGGTGTAATTTTACTCATATACAAAGCACCACAACATGAAAAATTGCACGAAGAATCACAAACAACAAAACGAATCATACATGTTATCACACTCAATACATTTTATTCATCCATGATGGCGCCTAAGCTAATAAGCACAAAACGACTGTCTGCTTTTTGTTGATGATGCAGAGAAAACAAGACTTAAACTGCATCAAATCTAACCCTGTATATATCAGCATGACTGTTGGTAAACGTGTGGGGAGGGAGCAAAGAATTAGATTCAATTCTTCATTCACAAATTAACTTTTCCTTGGTTAAAGGTAGGGAAGATCATTTGTCATTTGTTTTGTTTGCAACGACAAAAGTTCTCAAAATCTAAAGACGGGTGCCTAACCTGATAACTTTTAGCTCTGTGAATACTGTGTATTCTGAGAAAACAATTTCAGGATTTTGATTTCAATTCAAAAATTGCAGAGTTGTATTTTGAATTGCGCCAGAAATCTGTATCCGGAACAAAACACGTTCTCATTCAGCCAAAGACTGAACCAACAAACAATAGCAACCGTGTCAACGTGTCAATGCTTGCGCACACCCATTCAAGGATTTGCCCAATTACAAACCAACTACTAACGGAAATTTCCAAAAATGCGTCACTTGACTCATCTTTGGAAATGACCTTCTTTTATTGTTTTCTTCAAAAGGACATTAATTATGCCAGAAAATAATTTCATGGGGAGTTCAGTGCCATTACTGTCTTTAAACCAAGCAAGGTTTTTGATAATAATTTGGTCAGTTACTTTTTGGATAGCTGCAAACGATCTACTCCACCTTTAAACTGTATTGACATACCATAAAATAAAGTACACAAGTTGAGCCCTATTTTATGGATAAATTTGATGTGTAAAGTGTGAAAAAATGTGTAGCGAGATGTCAAAGCAAACTGCAAAAAATTTGCTCAAAATGTTAAAATTGTATGAATTTCTGTGAAGGCTTTTCCATGATACACATTTTGAATTTTGAATATTTAAAAACAAAACTTTCACAATTCTCTTTAAACCTCTGGACATCGAGAACAGAAAGCCATATTAGTAAAAGTTGACATAATTTTGTTGAAATGAAATATACTTCAGTGTTCGATTAGTTAAAAATGTTTGGAGGAGTGGGGAAACTATGACATTTAAACAATGTCAATTTGTTGATCAAGCTTTCATACGGCATTATAGGGGTCCAATGGGCTTCTTCATAGAGCGGTTAAACTGTGACAAAAAGAAGGGAAAAAAAACGTTACTAATGACCGTGTTTGAAACATAATGTGCATGCATCTATAGCAGTGCTAAGCACACAATATATTTCTGTTGAGATCAGAAGAAACAGCAGAAAACACAGTGAAGAGTGGGCTAACTTAAGAGACAGAAATTTCTTAGTTATATGCACTGAGAAATGTCCCAGTAAGTACAGGCACTGGTATGTCCACACTGCAAATGCACTTCATGTTATCATGTTCGTGCCAAACTAAGCACATAATATTCCTATTATCTGGCAAGGATTTCAAAGAACATAATATAAATGTACAAACATTCCATTTTTACCAACTGAAAAACACATCCACGATCGCTGAATTGTACCTTGAATACTCAGGATTCTATTCTCTACTCACCTCGTCAAATTTATGGATCTGGCGGATGAAGAAATCGCCATAGCGACGAGCCACCTTGGTGTCTGCAATGTGAATCATGTCCTGTGCAAAAACAAAACAAAAATGAAAAACTTAAAACTGTAAGGCCAAAAAAAACAATAAGTCGGTCTCTGGTCAGCGCGCGCGTCGATTTTAATCATGCGCGTCAATCTTTTTTTTTCCCAAAACGTTCCGCGGTAGCTCCAACAGCGCCCTCTATTGCCGCACCTCCTCAATTTTTTTTACCAAAGAGCACCAAGGAATGGGAAATTGCACCAAGGCAAATGATCGAGCGCACCAAGGCAAATTATGGAGGACACCAATGTACATGAGGACACAAAAAAAGCAAAATAGTACCCACCTTGTCTATACAATCCAAGCTTGAAGAAAAAAAAAAAAGAAGCCGCGTCCCCGCGTCAATTCCGGAACTTTGGTCTGACCAGAGACCGAATATTTTTTTTTGGGCCTGAAACTACTTTAGTTGATAGTGAATACATCTGTAACTTGTAACATTTGTAACATCTGTCTGCCTTAAACAATAACTATTAACCTTAACTCTCAAAGGAATTTTGCTAATAAACTACCCGACTCTCTGGAAGTTTTGAAGATATTTGACTTCCTAAGGTGGCCCTGACAGGACACGCACATTCACTGTTATTTTCAAATCGCAACAGCATATTTCGATTCTTGACAATGGATGTCTGTCAAGGGCCACCGTTCTTTTCAACTCACCTGATCGATGTAGAAGTCAACCTCGGATGCAGACTGAAACTCCCCAGCCAAACCACTGGTGCCCTTGGTCCACACCAGGTTCTTCATCTTATGCTGCAGGGAACCATTGAAAACATCCAGTAATTACTACCACAGACAATGTGCATGATACTTGTTTATGAATCCATACAGTGTGATCACATGATTCCAATTTCAAACTTGTGTGTGTTGTCATTTTAACCAGCCCATGGAGAACGGTTGTCAACAATTTTGCCCAAACACTTACCTTGAAGCACAGCAGGTGAGTTCTGAAGTCTTCCTCTGACTGTAAACAAAAATAAAGGTACGGAAAAATGTCACATTTTGCTTTTAAATGTGATTAAAGGAACAACAAATACTTTTTTTTCCTTGCAAAGTATAGTTGCAAGGAAGTGTTAACATTGCCAATGGCAGCATTTTGTACTGTGAATTGCTAATATTGGAGACTGAAATCTGAAATTCAAAAATACAATTCTGCGATATAATGTAGTGGACTCTGATATCATTAGGAGTGTCTGCAAATGGCAAAAAGGAAATTTTGAAGAAGAAAACTCACCATTTCCAGAAACACAGCCAGCTTGGAGATTGGCATAGTGGTGTAGAGCTTCAAGAAACTTCAAAAAGGAACACAGAAACAATTGCTATAAAAGCAAAGAATTGTATACATTATCTCTACTTCTCAAGAAAACTTTATAACTCCCTTGGCATTTAAGCCTGAAACTTTCCTGAATCCTCCAAAATCTGAGGAACCAATTAACTTTAAAGTGACATCAAGCCCCATGTAAAGTAAAAATGGCTGGTCTCTACCTTCCTCAATCCTACAAAATCCTCCAAAGACCACCTTACAGATTTTGAAGGATCTGAGAGTGATAGGAATCGATTGGAGAGTGTATCCCGTTACCTCCGGATGGTGGGTATAGCCAACTGCTGCTGGATCTCCTCACGAAAGACTTTCATCTGAAGTGAGAAAGGCTCGCGATGGAAGTTGCCCTGAAGGACCTCGTAGTTGGGAGGCACCGGAGACAAGAAACGAGGACAGGAGAAACTGAAGGCATCCTCAAAGGCTTGCATCTCACTAAAGGGGGGGGGGTTGAGAAAAAATAAAATTGTGAGTACACTTCTTGTGCACATTTTTTTTTGCAAGCAACTTCTACTGGGGCCTTTTTATTTCTGACAGGGTTGTAGACTTAATTGAGTCAGTCACAAGTGAAATTACAGGCCAAATCACAAGTCACATTGAAAGTCAATTCACAAGTCAAGTCACAAGTAATCACAAGCCAGGTGACAAGTAATAAAGGAAGAACAATAACAAAGGAATGGTTTTCCACAGTTCAATTTAACAGCTTGTGACTTGACTGGAGGCTGCATGACTTGTGATTGCTGATTTGTGATTGATTTGATAACAACTCCTACTTCTGATGTCATAAAGTAGGGTCCAGGGAGGGGGAGGTTCTTTGGGGTGGGGCTGGAGCTGGGGCCTAAGTGGAGGTGAGGTGATGGGGGTATTCTTGACTCACCCTCGCTGCATCTTGGCCAATTTATCTCCCATCTTCTCCTTCAGTTGCATATGGACGCTCTCATCAATGCGCATGGGATGAAGGGTCAGCGCGATCCCCAGCAACGTGTAGATCTGCTCGTTGATCTTCTTAATCTGTACAGATCATTACCAATGCAAGGTCAGTCATTCAAGTCATCACATCTCATGCATATTTATATTAGTCGTCCCATCTCATGCATATTTATAACATTAGAGTCATCACATCTCATAAAAAATTTTGACAGTGGAGTCATCACATCTCATGCAAGTTTATGACATTAGAGTCATCACATCTCATGCACATTTATGACATTAGAGTCATAACATCTCATGCATATTTATGAAATTAGAATCATCACATCTGTTGCATATTTATGACATTAGAGTCATCACATCTCATGTACATTTATTACATTAGGTCAATCACATTTGCATATTTACAAGTAGGATGAAATACCTAATTGACCTTTGACACACCCACCCACTTTTTGACCCCGCCCACTTACCAAATCCACTTGGTAGGAGCCCGGTGGCATCATGCGGCTGGTGCGCTGGATGTACAGCAAGATGTTAGTGAAGCTACGTATGGCGTCCTGATACCTCCGCATCATGAGGTAGGCAAAGCCCACATAGTAATAGGTGGTGACCTGACAGGCTGTCACCCTCGAGTAGAGAGTCTGGGGAGCAAGGAACCAGTCTATATTAAACCCTCCTTCACTGGTACACTGCTTTGCACTACAATATACCACAGAGTTAACTCTTATGGTTTGTCTATACGGCGTGTGTGACATTTTGCAACTTTTTTACATGTCGTAAATGTTACTCAATAACATGACTATAAACTGATGATTCCCAGGTTTTTTGGAAGGTTTGGGTATTTCAGACATATTCAACTCAATTAATACAGATTTTTTTTAAACTCCAATTAGCTTTGCTATATGACATCTCACTACTTTCTTTACTGTTTGTAGGTATTTTAAGTCTTTGTATGACAGCCATCTCTGAACAAACAGCTGTGAACACAACTCCCCGTTCATGCAGTACTTTGTATTTAGGTGTTTCAAATTGAGTTTATTGTTTTACTTTTAAAGAAATTTGCCCAGTGAAATTGCTGACTAGTTGAGGTTTGCCTTACTTGCTTGTTGAGTTCGATGTTTTCCAGGACTTTGATCGCTTGGTAGTAGTCACCCAGCAGAGAGTGAAGTCGTAGCAGGCCGATCAGACTGAAGTAGCCAAGCATCTTGTATAACGGATGACGACCAAAGTCTCCCGCGACACTGTCTGGATCGCCTATAATAAACAAACAAACAAACAACATGTAAACAGGTTTCCGATACGACCTCAGTAAGGTCATGTTTGACGGAGAAGTGTCTCTTAAGTTAACCCAGTACTTCTCCCCTCGACCCCTAAGTTTTGATGTTTCAAGTGAGCTGATTTCTCATGTTGCAACTAACCTGCGCTGGCGTAGACCTCTAGTTGCTTGTTGATGTTGGACTTGTCCACCAGGGAATGCAGAACGTTCAGCACGCTATGCACATTCCAGATCTAGGAAAGACGAGAAAATAATGACTTCTAACCCAAGACCATTGACCAACTACTTACTGTAAGCAGTCTACTTATTAAAGATTCTTCTCGCTATATAACAAACATTGCAAAAAATGACAACTCTGAAAAAATTCCAAGTTTGGTAGGACCGTTTTCTAGTTTTTAATGTTCTAAAGAATAAAACTGGTAATTGACATTTTTGTCTACCTTTGGGTTTTGCTTGAGGATGGTGATTTCATCGTCCGCCTTTCCCGACAGCTTGCTACGATACTTGCTGAATTCTTGGAACTGTAAAGAAAAACAGTCAATAAGTCAAACTTCCTATAACTGATTATAAAAAAGGAAGACAATGCGCACTACGAAGAGTAGGATTTGGGTGGATTATCAAAATACCATGGGTGTTTGGGTTAAGGTAACATGAAACTTGAAATATCAAGTAATAATTTTAATTTACCTGGTAAATAAACTCATCAATAACGTCCCACAACCACTGATCTGGCAACTCCAATCTCACAGGTCCATCCGCATCTAGAGAAATAATCAAACATCAAAGGTTAAGCTCCAGAAAATCTTTTTCAAGTTTTTAAGTAACCAATGCTCTCAAGTACTTTTTAAAATGGTTAAAAAAAAACCAATATTCTTTTGGAAAACACTAAGGCAGTGATTTCTACTCACTCAGGATAAAGTTGAAGAGGTTGCAATAGTTGTAGTAAGACTCAAAACGCTGCTCCTGCGATGGACCCGACTGTCAACACAAACAGATATCTATTAAGAATTTCTTTTAACTCAAACAAGAAGAAATAGTTATTCAATTTCCAAATCATTTTACTAAAGGTCTTGGGTAACTGTTGTGGAAGTTAACTTGAAACTTGCCCAACATACCTAAGGCCAAAAAAAAAAAGTCTCCGGTTTCTGGTATGCGCGCGCGTCGCCGTAGCCATGCGCGTCGGCAAAATAAAAAAGTTTTTTTTTCAATGAAAGATGATGTCTTAAAACCGCCAAACTCACTGGTTTGACTGGAATCCTGCTGTTGCACAATTTTAACGTGTTTTTAGATGGGGTTATGATCGAGAATAAGCTTTATGTGGCCTCTCTGGACTCCCATATATTTGCACTAAGTTTAGTCGGGCACTATTTGCAGTCATCAGCCGACATTTGAAGCAAAAAAGTAAGGTAAAAAAAAAAAAAGCCGCGTCGCCGCACCACTTTTTGGACAAGCTCCATACCAGAAACCGGAGACTTTTTTTTTTTGGCCTAAGCCGACAGTATGAACAATTCTGCTCAGGGGTCACACTTTAAAGAGGGGGGTTTCTTTAAGAATTTTAATACTGAGTAGGAGGGGTTATAAGCAGTGTTAGGGTTTTTCTCCAACAATAACTTTACTCACTGTGACTCTGGCATAGATGTGACGATAGTACAGCTCCTTGTACAAGATGTTGAACACAGGATCTGAAGAAAATTGATCAAAACCAGATAATTTTCAAAACATTATTGAAACAATTAACAACATCAATCAGCATCATTTTTGTCAACATGTAGAATGGGCCAAATAAACCCCTTTTTTCATAATTAACAGCTGTAAAGTCAACAAAGTCTGTATCTACAAATCAGCTAACTAAGGTTTTGGGGAAAACATGAAGTAAATCTGGAGGATCTTTATACCATGTCCGACCACCGTCTGAATGCTCTCTGCATCCGGCCAGGAAGAATTCTTGAAGAACCTCTCAGTCAGCTTGTTGAAACTGCGAACAGAGGTAAAACAAAGAGACAAAATAAAATGAAGTTGTTTTCTTTTTTTTTATAAAGAAAATTAATGTTAGAGAACTGGGGTAACTGACCAGAGATGCCTGCATGTTTTAGCAGGAGAGGGAGTGGGTTCGAATCCCATCATTTTCGATGGAATTTGTTTACTCTATGACTTACTCTCTCTCATAGCACTGGCTGATGTCGTAGAGTTGGTTCTCCTTGATGCTCCGCTGGAAGAACATCAGGAAATTCTTGATCTCGTCAGGCAGAATGTAGGAGCTGACCGTGTTGGGAAGTTGCCTCTCATAGGCCAAGTCACGCTGCGGATCACCTGAGGAGATAATCAAGAATGAAAGGATTGGAGATGAGAAAAGAACCTGGGATTTTCTACTTTGCAGGTATAAAAGGATAAAATAAACGTTAAGTCCCTTAGGATTTTTTGCTTAAAACTTTTTCAAATCTTCCAAAATTCAACACAGTGGGGTGAAAAAACAACTCCCTTAAATAATAGAACATTCTGTTTACATAAAACTAAAACCTTTTGCTTATAAATCAAATCTCACAGTTTTCTAGGCTTTTAACTCTATACTGACCTGTGTGCATTCCGTAGCCATGACTATCATCCTGGTAATAATCCCCCTAAATTTGAATGAAAACAAAGAAAAGACAAAGGGTTTATGTAATAAAATCAGTCAAACATGCAAAATATGGTTTTGGATTGAAGTTTTGTGTCAGTGGTCTCACTACAACTTCATTAATTAACGTTATAAATATAAACATGATCATAATTTGCATAAAGGTCATGAAGGTGCAATCAACTGAATGTCAGACAAGTCGACCGTTGAGACAACTCGACTCGGGACAAGTCGACCGTTGAGACAACTCGACCGTTGAGACAAGTCGACCGTTGAGACAACTCGAATCGGGACAACTCGACCGTTGAGACAGCTAACGTGCACGGCACGTGCACGGTACGGCCACGCGGTTGACCGGAGATGCGCGCACAGGCCCGGCAAAAACGAACGATGTGCACGGACAATCACGCTGCGCTATATCGGCTCTGCTCTGTTACGTGTCATAACTCCCAAACGGCGATCAGCCGCCGTCAAAATCCCCGGTGCTATCCCCAAAACTAGGCCCAAAAACATGCGAGGCGACTTGTATCAACGGTCGACTTGTCTTTTCATTTATCGCACATACGGTCGAGTTGTCTCAACGGTCGAGTTGTCTCAACGGGCGACTTGTCCCGAGTCGAGTTGTCTCAACGGTCGACTTGTCTGACCCCCAATCAACTGATCACGCAAAACATGCGCAAATCCATTCTTGCGCAATCGGATGGTTGCTCAAACCTGTTCTTGAACAATTCAAAACTTTTTAAAAACTTTAAATTTTGTATTTTGTTAGTAAAATATGCCTGTTGGCAGTGTTGCACAAATATTCATGAATTTCAAATTCTGCATTGACTTTATACACAACCAAAAAGTAAAAATGCCCTACTGCATGTTGTTTTTCTAACGATTTTATTCAAAATTATACACTAGTGCTTGGTATTTTGCCAGTAGAAATGGTACTCACATCATCATCTCCGTAGTCTACTTCATACCTTACTCTACTCATCGTTAATTTTGAGGCAATTATTTAGCCAAATATGTCAGAAAAATGACTGTCCAATCGACCACATGCACACTTTTCGCAGCACTGGCGGTGAAGTGAAATACCGCCCTCTAGTGGAATAACGCGCACGACGCTAATCCCAGTTTCGTGCCCCAACTGTTTTTTCCTTCCCAACTGCAGTTAGGCCTTCTTCCGTGGTTGGGTAAATAAGCAACCACGCACTTTAAAGATAACTTTGTGCTATTTTCGAATTTTACCCCGCAAAAGCAAAACACAAAAGTTATCTATTTTTTTAAAGACACATCGACCGAAGCTACAACTATCATATCATATTTAAGACTAACAATTTTGATTTTTTTGGGAGGGGGGTGTATTAAAACACAACTTAAAAAATGGTTATTGTCATGCCGAATCCTTCAAATAGTTTTTGCTCTGAGTTTATCTGATTTATACAAATTCAAGTTTTGCTCAGTTAAATTATAATGATGTAGTATTTTACAATACATGTGCATGCAGCATAGTTACGGTGGAGAGAAATTTTGCGCTTTAATTTGATATTCCCGATTGAAAAACTACCCGACTGCAGTTGGGACTATGGACACATTTGGGACTGAATTTGCAAATACAACGTGTAGTTCATGCGGAAAGTCCACACTCTGCGTTTGGTTGTTTGCCATTGTGCAATCAGACAGATTTTCACTGTTTTTACCATTGTGAGAAAGTGTTTGTGAGATCAAAGAGTTTCCAAAAATGCCTAGAGGAGGTAAGTATTCCTTAGATCGGCCTATTTGTGAGGGTAGAGTGTGAAATACTTGCAAAATTAGACAATTTGGAACGTCATTGAAACTTGGTCTACTCTTCATGCTCTTTGACTTGGAAAAGTTATTTGCTATTGCACATGCACGATGCACGATACGGGCCGGGGGTTTCCCAAGCTCATGAAACATGTGAAACTCGATCATAAAACAAAATCTCAAAGGCCGAGTTTGGGCAGTTTGTTCTTGACTCTGGTGTATTGTTCGTGCAAAACACTGACGGAAAAGTGTTGTGTGATCCTGTTCCGAGTGCAGTGTTTCTAGGTCGTGTTCACGTCCGCCGTTGGCCATTCGAGCGCGAGAACAATATACCTGTGTCAAGAACAGACCGCCCGAACTTGGCCAAAGTGTTTGATTTCCTGTGAAAAGTTCCTGATCGATACTAGCTATAGTACTCAGGCCCGAGTATGACCATGATGACCTAGTCAGCAATTAATATTAGGGGTGTGCATCGGAGCCAGGTATTCGACTACCGGGTACTCGGAGCCTGTCAGGTATCTGTACCGCGTACCGGGGTAGGTTGTGCATTATTCTACTTAATCTGTTGACAAATAGCTCTGTATAATCTAATTTACATGCATAATTAATTAATTGAATTCACAGGTCGTAAGGGAGGCCACAAGGGGCGGAGCCGGAAATTCAACAATCCGGAGGAGATTGATGACCAAATGAGGGCACATGAGTGGAGGGTAGGTTGTGTCAAGAAGATGGAACAAATCTACGATGATGGTCCAAAATTTGGCGTCTGAATAATTTTGGAAAGCTTAATGTCCAAACCAAGAGGAAAGACTCTAACGCACAACTTTTAAATACATAAAGCAAAACATGGACCTAAGTTGAGCCAGAAGCTGCAAAAATCATCTGAACCTGAAACTTAATTGAGACAAAAAAACTTTAATGTGAAGATTTTAAGGGGGTACACAGAATGAGATTCTAGGAAATCCTACTGAATTAAGGTAAAGACTATAACCATATTCCACATGTGAACCCGGGTCATAGAAGGTGAAGAAACAGAAGGTGAGCAAAGAACCAGTGTGCCGGTTTGATACTTATATATTCATCTTGTCTTTGTCTTTGGTTTTGATTTGATGCAGGAACCAGCTAAAGAAGGGAGTGGAGACGAGGGGACAGCAAAACAGCCGGCAAAGACGATATCTGACACAGACTCGGACTCAGACTCCGACGAAGATGTTAGTTCATAGCTGTACTCTCTGGAGGCAGTGTAGTCAAAATAGTCACCATTATTACCCTAACCTTCCCAAATTCTCCAAAATCCTCTTTGCAAAATGGAGGATTTTGCAGGATTGAGGCTTTATGGCAAATCTGTGTGGCTGATTTTGGAGGATGCACTGTGTCAAGGTCTTTGGCCAGACCTTGTGTTGTTTATGCTCAGCCATGCATAGATTTAGGCCTACATTATACTGGAAATCCTCTGCACTGCTCCAGGATGTCACTGGCTCTGCCTCAACACATTGACAGTGATTGCGGGAGGATTTTGCAGGATTGAGGCAGTAGTCACTCCTGAAAGGACCACATCAAGAAAAAAATGAGCATTTTGCAGGATTGAGGTATCCTAGCAAAACAGTTAAAAGGGAGTAGCGTGACTTGGGCTTGAATCAAACTCTAATCACATTTTTTATAATTTTTTGTTGTTGTTTGTTTTGTTTCTTGTAGCAAGGACACAAAGGCGTCAGTCACCTCATAGCTATTGAAAACCCAAACCGAGTGGCAAACAAAATGAAGAAAGCGTCACAAGTCGATGTCAATGAATCCGGAACAGCGGCCTTATCAAGAAGAGAAAGGTTAGAATGCTTCAACCAAAAGTATTCAAAAGAATTATCTGATTTACTGATCAGCGCAGACAAGGGGAGTACGGCCTAGTGGTTAGGGTTCGTGATTCATGATCACAGGGTCAGGGGTTCGAATCCAGCTGCTGGCAATATGTTCCAGCCTTGGGCAAGCCACTTCACCCCCACTTGCCCCTCTCCACCCAGGAGTATAAAATGGGTACCGGCATTAGCTGGGGAGTAACCTGCAATGGACTAGCATCCCATCCAGGGGAATAAAATATTTTCTCTGTCGTTTCATGCTACTGATACCGGAGATAAATAGCCAGCCTGATGGGCCACATTGGCTCGTGACAGACTTTACTAATACCTCTGCGAAGACAAATATACATGGCATTCTCCACACACTGGCTCTCCTAACAATAAATAAGCAGATTTTTCTCTGATAAATTGACAGAAAAGAGATAGAGAAAGAAGAGGCCACACAGCGATATTTGAAGCTTCACAGGGAAGGCAAGACGCCTGAAGCCCAGGCAGACCTGGCAAGGCTAGCAATCATCCGCAAAGAACGGGAGGAAGCGGCCAAAAAGAGAGAACAAGAGAAAAAAGGTTAGAAGAAATCACCAGACGATAAGTTTGGCTATTTTCATGACTTTTTTTCCCCTTAGGAAATTTAAGTTTTATGCCAACCCTAAAATTTGACTGCCCTGCTGAAATTTTAACTGGCCTACAGTTTTTAACATCACCCATTTTGCATGTAATTAACAACAAAGTAGTTTTCTCAAAGAAGTTGTTTATGCTCAGTGATCAGCGCTAATAAAACAATCAGAAACGGTGAACTAACTTTAAGCTTTAACTGTAGATTATTATTAGTTTTTTTTTGTTATTCATTTTTACAGCAAAAGAGGAAGCCAAAGCTGCTGCAAGGAAAAAATGACGAAATGGAAAAAATGTAGAAGAGAAATCATCGGTGAATTATGAAATATGTATGTAAAAATGGTTCGGGATCATACACACTATTCAAACTTTTAAGGTAATATACAATGTTTGCTTTTGCTGTAATTTTAAGAAATTGATAGATTTTGGGGGTTGTTATTTTGTAGCAAAGATTGTTACATTGACCTGTTCAAAGGTTTGTGTTCATAGATGCTGGAATAACCAAGAAAAAAAATTATCTTCTTGTAGTCTGGTTCCCTGACTCTACTTCAGACGAAGAAAACAATTTATAGATGTTGGGGAATTGTCAGGTCAGGCAACCAGACTAGCTGGCTTGTCCGTTTTTCCCAACGATTGTCGGCCGACCATCGTAAATTTATACAAAAATTCCACTTTTCTTGAAAATGACAGCACACCATATGCCATGATTTCACAGGATGCTTGAGACTATTATTCACTTACAGTCAAGTAAGGTATTTCATAATTATTTGATAGTTTTGTTTTTTGATGTTTGCAAATGTTGTATATTATCTTTAAACTTGTAGCACATTTACATGTTTCTAAATTAAGTCTGAACCACCTTCAAAAAAAGTGTTGCACAAAGATTGAATATTGCAAAAAGATATTTATTTGGCCCAATTAATAAAAAAAAGAATTGTGCTTCAATTGAATGAAACAGCAAACACTTCCAAAAAGTTTCATATTATAACTGAAACGAGAGGTATCAGAATTTAATCATGACATTTTGTTTTGAATTTTTTTTTTTTGGGGGGGGGGATCAGTGAAATTGAGTCATAAACATTTACTGAAACATTGTTTACTGTGTGAAAATTTCTTTTCAAACTATTTTTCTGCAATGCACGTACTTCCAAAGCGATATTTATTTAAATAATTTTGGCGTACATGGCGATTTCGTTCCATTTTTTTTAAGTACTGATTTTGTTGAACAATAGAAACAAGTTGAGTCTGGTATCCTTTACTGCAGTGTTCGATTTGTGTTACAATTTTTGATGCCGTCTTTAAAAATGAAACACGTTTATCTCTAAATCTGTCATTTCTGCCTTTATGTGACACGATTGTAAAATGATTTTGAAGAATTTTCCTACACATTTACAGCTTAAAAACATGGCGAACCCCTTGAAGTTGGTATATAATCTACAGAATACAATATTCAGATGTCATTTCAGATTTTTATTCATTTATTTCTCCTTCAATTTGTGAAAGCTCATGTAACCCTTTAGTCATTGTACTGCCCGAAACCCGTCTGGCTATCTGGTTTGTAAGGATGACGTCATTTCAACCCAAACCACGCCCATTGCACATGGGGAATTATGGGAACTGGAAGCAGTACAAAGTGTCGTGCTTTAAGCCAATGGGTGCTAGTAATCAGTGGTGCGTGTTGGCCTATGACGCAATCACTTGCAAACCGGATTGCGTGTTCTGATCCTATACTTGCATTTGTTTTACAAACTCTCTGACCTTTTTTGGTCAAAGTTCATTTTATGTGTAAACTTATATTGTAGCATTCATACAAAGACAATAAAAGAATGGAACATTCTACTGATCTGTAATTGTGGTTCTTCTTTATTGTGTACAGTATTTATCAAATCACTAAATCACTCGTTAGCAAATAGCCATTGTTCAAACTTGTTCAGTTATTTACAATTAGTATGAAGACTTGAACAGGAAGTTGGTTTCTCGAATTAATATTTTTCTAAATTGGAAATGGCTTGAACAAAAGTAAATGTTACTGACCAAAGAGTGACATTAAGATTAAGTCTTTACTAGAAAGATAAGTATCAAACAGTTCCAGTCCCATACAATTTTTTTTGTCGCACAAAAAAATGAGCTGAGAATGTCCTTTTTAACTATCCAGTCGTGCATTTTTTTTTAAATGATAAAAATACCTACAGTAAAATCCTGTTTCATCCCACTGCATGTTTTAAGGGATCACGATTTTGAGGCAAATTCTGAGACAATTGAGGACATAACCATGAATGATGAACAGTCCATGTGCCTCAGACTCTACCATTGAAAGGTGTTCACTTTTTCTCAATAATTTCTGTCATTTCTGGGACGGCCTGAAAAAAAAAGAGAAAGAACAAATATGGTTTAAAATTTGATTAAAAGATAAAATTTGATGTCAAATACAGAATATAGAACACTATAACAGCCATGTCCAATGAGTTTTGTGGTATCAATAACGTTAGGATAATAACAAGTCAATCACAAATCGATCACAAGTCAATCGCAAGTCCTTCACAAGTCAATCGCAAGTCATCACAAGTCTATCACAAGTCATCGTAAGTCAATCACAAGTCATCACAAGCCAATCGCAAGTCCTCACAAGTCAATCACAAGTCTATCACAAGTCATTGTAAGTCGATCACAAGTCATCACAAGTCAATCACAAGTCATTACAAGTCGATCACAAGTCATCGCAAGTCAATCGCAAATCAATCACAAGTCAATCACGAGTCATTACAAGTCAATCACAAGTCGATCACAAGTCAATCTCAAACCATCACAAGTCCACCACAAGTCAGTGCAAGTCAATCACAAGTCAATCACAAGTCAATCACAAGTCATCACAAGTCCTCCAGTCTCAAGTCAAGTCACAAGCTATTTGTTATTGCTTGCCCCCTTGTCGCTTATTACCCAACTTGTGATTTGATTTGTGATCTGACTTTTGATTGACTCGACCACAACTCTTGAGGCTTAGGGTAAGTTTTTCCTTCTGTTACCTTGAAGAGATCTGCAACCAGTCCGTAGTCAGCTACTTGGAATATAGGAGCCTCAGGATCCTTGTTGATAGCAACAATCACTTTGCTGTCCTTCATACCGGCTAGATGCTGTATAGCACCGGAGATTCCCACAGCTATGTACAGTTGCTGTAAGAAGAGTTAAAAAGAAATGTTACTAAAAAATTTTTTTTCCAAGTCTTTGCCAGTCAGCTGGATGCATTATCGTTTGGGTAGAAAAGGAAATCTTAGCAAAGGTTAGCAAAAAGTTAAGCAACTTACTGGAGCGACAATTTTGCCTGTCTGTCCGACCTGCATGTCATTAGGTACGAAGCCGGCATCAACTGCTGCTCTGGATGCACCAACGGCAGCGTGCATCTTGTCGGCTAACTTGTAGAGAAGCTCAAAGTTCTCGCCGTTTTTCATACCACGGCCTGGCAAATCAAAATGCATCCCAAAGAAAAAATTATACTTGCTTGATCAATATTGTTTTCAATCTAAAACTACTGGTGTCACCGTTACTCCCTTCTGATTTACATACCTCCTGAGATGACGTTATCGGCGCTGGTCAGTTCTGGTCGGTCACTCTTGCTGAGAGATTGGCTCTCCCACGTCGACAAATCATTGGTAGCGCCAGGCTCAGGGGCTAGAGCGAAAATTAAATCAAATTTTACCTTTTTTAATTCCAGAGCTTAAGATTGTGTCAACTCTTAACATAGTCCCTACACTGCGCCAAACTGCCCTGCCTGTTACTCTCTGTACCGCCCAAAACTGGCCCGTTCAGTATAGTTTCATGTATTTCTAAGGAATTTAATACAATGTAATACAGTGTAGTGCAGGTACTAAAGAATTGATTAAATAATAATAGTTTGTTATTTTTTTTACCTTGTTCTGAAGCAGCTGAGCCACTTCCAACTTCGACTGCCTCAAACGCCGTGCCTCTCACACTGAACACCTTGACTGCATCCAAGCTACGAATGGTTGATACTGCATTGCCTGCAGAAGGAACCAGAACAGTTTTTAGCCAGTCAGCTTGTGTTAACATGAAAGCTAATTTTGTCAGTAAAACAAGAAGACAAGTCAGCATTAAGTTGCCTGGGAGGCGTGGACATGTTGATGATGTGACGGATCTTACCTGCATAGATGGTTCTGACAAACGTGTCTGGTGATTCGATTCCGATGATGTCTGAGATCGGTGACACATCCAGCTTAGCCGCCAGCCTTGGAATCAAGTTCTGTGAAACAAAAACGCAAACTCTTTTATCAATTAAGGAAGTGTGAACAACAGAATTACATTCCAGATGGAATAATTTCATATGGTGTGGTATACATACTTTTTTCAAAATATCAACTTTTCAAACAAATTTCAACAAGTCAACACTTATGCTGCCAGCACCTTCAATTCTATCTGATGGTTTTGAAGGATTTCACAGGATTGGGGATAGTATGGCCCAGCTACATGGGCCTCGCTGACAACTACAGTACTAACAAAGAATACAACTTTGGTTTCTTGTGGATTGGGGGATTCATCTAGAATGTTTTTAGCAAAAATTTAGAGGAAGTTGTAGGTTTTTAGTCTGTTCACCTTGCCAAATGCTGTTGCCCCTGATGTGATGTGAGTGAAGTTGAATTGTTTCTGTGTGGCAACTAGCAGTGGTGTCAATGCTTCTGGCAGGAATCCTTTGTAAGCTTCGTTGTCAGCCACCATGATCTTGCTGACGCCTGGTACTTTGGATAACTCCTCAACAACCTGAAGGCAAAAAAGGGGGGAAAATTACCTCAACAATTGTTCAATGAGCTTATCTATATTTTTTGGGGGACCAGTTGAGACTTTCACTACTAAATATAATTGAGGGAAATTTTGAGTTTCTTCTGAACAGAATTGTGACTCCTGTATGGAATCAGAATCCATTAAAAAAGTTAACATTTCCAAACTTTTAATTTTGATTAAACCAGCTAATCCTCTGTTAGCTGTTGACATTCTTACCTTTCCACAGCCAGTTCCAGCCACCAGACACGACACATCTCCTCCAATCTTAGAGGCGGCAGTCAATGTATTTAAGGTGATGGGCGTGACAGATTCATTGTTGTGTTCAACGATCACCAGCGTGCTATTGTGACGACTCAGCACTGAAAACTGTGTATGAATAGAAAACGGAACAATTTGTAATTATAAACGATGTATTGAAAATCCTGATTTGTTTTGTACTGTGATACAAAACTTTACAAATATAATAATTTGAAACTGTTGAGTCTTACCATAGTTTACAGTTCAACCCCCCCCATCCCCGGCCAACTACGCCCCCCCCCGGCCATTCGCAGTACACTGACAATGACTGATCAGTCCGGTTCGGAAAATTATAATCGCGAATTTCTATCCCTTTAACAAAACTTACCGATTGGCAAATCCTGCGAGAAGAATTCCTTGCAATCAAACCAAACATTTTTGTTCAAATTTCGTGAAAAACTCGTCAGAATAATGATTTTAAGAATGGATTTACGCAACCAATTTCCACGGCCGGGCACAATGTTATGTCACGATATCATAGCGCCCTCTGTAGATCTTCACACACGCGCGTTCCAATTTTTCACACCATTAATAGCGCCCTCTAGTAGTACAGTAGAACCTGTCGATCTTCTAATTTTCAGAAAATGGAGTCAACTAAACCGAGGCTAATTAAAGTTTATCACAGTCCCCTGTAAATTTAAACGATTTGAAGGGGGGGGGGGGGAGGTCGGGTCCGTGGACCAGCTCAATTCAAATCCCACACATTATTTATATTTTTAATTTTTAGGCAATAAATTAAAACGTACGTTGCATCATGGAGGAAGGAACACCTTCCTCCATGGTTGCATATAATTCCCCCCGCAAACCATCAGCTAGCTACATTATACCTTTTAGTTTTAATATTACAATGTGGCAACACTACATGTATGTATATTTAACCCCCTTCCTCTTTTTGAAAAAAAGAAATACTCGAGCCCTCTTCCCCCTCCCCCGGTTCTGGATCAGCCCCTTGAGTCTTTGACTGCCCAAAGGGAAATAATCACTTCAATTGGAAATTTCGATCGATGGTTCTTAAATAACCTTGAGCAGTATACAACATATTGTTAATTTATTTGTTATTGCATGGAGGAAGAAATGGTTATTGTAAATTTTACAAGTATACACACTCAATCGCACAATGAAAACAGTTTACATAAATATAAGTTTTGTTTCGCAACTTTCTTCTGCAAGAATAGTTCTCTATTGCGAAAATATTGAAAATAATATTTTGGGGACTACTTCCCCACCCCGAACTCCTACCCCACCATAATTTTATCAAGTTGAGTGCATTTTGTAAGAGTTAGAGCCCCCCTCCAAAAAAACAAAAAAAACCAAAAAACACCACCCCCTGCTGCGTTGACACTTTTTGATTGATTGATTGAATTAGTCTGGTTTCCCGTTGGTTAAAATATCGTGCATTTGAGTCCGAGGCAAGACCATAAACTAATTGTAAACAGAGAGTTGACGTCCCTGGCAACGGCGCAAAGAACGATCAATTTACACACAGACGCCATATTGAATCAATAATTCTGTGTACGAAGTTTGCGGCGCTGACGAAACGGGACGGTGGTGAACTTCTAAAATCAAGGAAATCGTCGGTAAATTCCATGAAGTTCAATCTAAAATACAACCAAAGGGAAGCCGTTGCTACACTGATATATTTTCCGGCCAAATTTCTCGTTGACTTGTTATGAAAGGAATGAAAAACTGAGCTTTTTGTGTGACGACTCCGCCGATTTCTCGAGCAACTGAATCTTTACGCTTGACTGCCTGATCCACATTCAACATGGGGGAAGTCTCCGATGCAAGATTTGATTTTATATCAGAGTACATTCTGAAAAGCTACAAACTGAAGCCGGACAAATGGGCCAAATGCATAGGTGTCGAAGACAACAAGCTTCTCATTCAAGAATTCCTTGAAAAAGCCGACATTCCACAGGTTGTCTTCACGGTAAATTCTGCCGGTTTGATCACGCCGTCATCCGAATTTCCAGAGACCCTGAAAAACAGCAAAGCGATCTATTTCATCAAGAAGAACAAGGAGGCCCTCGGAAAGGACAACTTCAAACAGAACTTAGTGTATGGTGATCTGTCGTATTCACCATTGGAACAGCTTTCTGCCCTTGTCGACGAGGTGAATTTTAATGTTAAAATGGGAATGTTAATTTAGGCCTATTAATGAATATGAAATGTGAGGTCAAATAAAATATTTTTTCTAACAAACAGACTTAATTATTTATTGTAAGCAAATTATGTTTAGGAGATCACTTGAACTGTATCAAGGGTAAAATTAACTTCTTTCTCATAAATTAAATAATATAATTTCAAAACGTTTAAATCTGTTTAAAATTTTAAACAAGGACATTTTGATTTTAACAATAATTTTTTTTCTTTGAAAATAGGTTTTGAAAATTTGATTGTTTAGTCTAAAATCCCCGGAAAAAACGATTTTGATTGTCCAGTATTTTAATATTTGCAGGAATGTTGGGCCAGGTCAATATTATTCAAGAGGCTCAGTTTCCAAATTTTGTTTACCAAAAAAAAATACTTAAGAAAAAACTGTGTAGGCCTAAACAAAAAAAAGACAATGTATTTAGCATTGATATGTTGATAGAGAAACCGTATTGAGTTTAAATTTTCTTACGCAGGTGCTTGTGCCTCTGTTAGCCAACCCGAGGAACCATGAACAGTGGCCTTACGTTGTATCTCAAGATGTACTGCGACACGTCCACAACCTCAAGAGCAGTGTGTATGTAGTGGCTGGCCAGGTGAAGGGCAAAACACTCCTACCACTCCCTGTGGGCTCCGAGAAAGTGGAGACCGCTGCTGAAGCAGAAGAGAAGTGAGTTTACTTACCCGATTTTCTCGCTAAGTAGAATTCAACAGGGTACCAGTCATAAGCAATACGTATTGCAGGAAATTTTGGCTGGCGACATGTTTCTGCTCAGCAGATAATTTGTTTGCTGCTGGTTGCGATCTGCTAACCACAGAAGATCTGCATAGTGATGTGAGCACAGAATCCTTAGTTGGAGGATGCTAACATTTGCAGAAGCCTATATTCGGTGTAACGTATAGCAAGGCATTAACTTCATACCATTCCACTCCAAAACCATCCCTCTCCAATCTGAAAGGATCTTTTTGTTTTTTGGTTTTTGGTTTTAATTTGTTTAACTCTTGTCCGTTGCAGGGATGATTCCTATGATCGAAGCTTGGTGCATTCCATTGAGTCTGTCATCATTGATTGGACACATCAGATCCGAGATGTGCTCAAGAGAGACTCAGCCCAGCCCCTACTGGAAGGTCTCAACCCAGGGCCTTTTGTGGAGATCCAATTCTGGAAGGCCAAGTGTGAGAATCTAGAATGCATCTTCCAACAGGTGAGCTCTTAGATTCTGTGACTGGATTCATTCAACTACTGGTTGATTCATGATGAACCTCGATGATTGTAAAGTAAAGGTGTATTTGTCCTGAATTTACGTTTAGTAAATGGGATTAACCTCAGGTTTCTTTTCTTCGACAGTTGCGTGATCCCAAGGTTCGTAAGATGAAAGAACTCCTTGAGAGAACAGAGAGCAGCTACCTGCCATCCTTCAAGAACATTGAGAGGGATGTGGAAGCGGGTAAGTATGCAGCAGGAAAACATACCCGCAGTCGCAACAAAAATCTGACCATATCTATGACTTTTGGAGATCAATCGTCATTCACACTTTTGTCTTTTTCTCCTTTTTTAACCATAGCGTTGACCGAGGCCCAGGACATCACTATGTACCTGAAACCTCTTGGAAGTCACATTGAGGGTTTTGAGGAGGTGGACTTCCCTGAGCTACTACCCAAGCTAGGCCCTCTGATGCACGTGGTCTGCCTGATCTGGAGTAACTCCGAGTACTACAACACAGCACCCAGAATCATCGTTCTACTGCAGGAGATTTGCAATTCACTCATTGACAGTGTAAGAAACCCTAACGAGTCAGAGTACAAGACATGAAATTCACTGCACAATCAGGAAATTTTTTCAAGCCTTGGCGTCATCCCCGGCTTTTACATTTGAAAACCTTTTTTAACAATTCGATACACTGAGGGAAAAAGTTTCGGTGACAACAATTTCAGGTCTTCTTATTTCTGTCACTATTCTAATTATTCAAGCAAGCATACTTTACATGTTTGTTTCCACCCAGTGTCGCAATTTCCTGTCTCCTGATGAGATCTTCAAAATGGAATGCGAGGAATCCCTGGAGAAAGTGAAGGGCGCCCTCGCTGTGCTGCGAGGTTACAAGAACCTGTATGACGACCACCGCGCTAAGCTGAAGGACTACTTCAAGGAAGGCAGGGAACCCATCCTGTGGGAGTTTGCTCCCTCCATGGTCTTTGCTCGCATGGACAAGTTCTTGGAGAGGTTGGAGATACTGGAGGTAGGTTTCTGAAGAAGTGTCTCCCTAATTCATAATTAAATCCATGATTCATGGAATTGTGTTTTTGTGTACTAGGGCTCGGACTCTGAGTTTTGCTAATTCGATTCGTCACTTTTCTGACTGACAGAAACTGTTTGAGACCAACGTCGAGTTCAGCAAGCTGGAGAAAACCGAGATGGGAGGCATGAAGGGACGGATGCTGAGCGTACAGGTGGAGAAGATCCATGAGGAATTCCTGGAGTATGTCAAGGTGTTTGCTGAGCGGAGCTATGATGGCCTAGATCCACAGTGCCAGGTGAGTGATTACTTCCTCTTCAACTCTGTCTAGGAAGAGCGTCCGTTGAAGGTTTTCATGGAATTCGAGTGAATGCTATATCTTTACTCAGATTTGCCTGAACATTTTTTTGCGGGAAGTCTTCTTGAATCATCCAAAATCAACTCATTCTGTGCTGGATCAAGTGCAAATTCTCTAAATCCTGCATAATGCTTTAAAACATCCTGGTTGATTTTAAAGAATTGAGGACGGTAAGGGTTAATTAATTAATGAGCTAATTAAGAATCATTGCAACAGCTTGTCAGTTTTGTATGTTGAAGAATTAATATGTTGTGTACATTTGTTAAAGGTTTTTGTTGTATTTGACCATTATTTCCCAATTGTATCCATCATCGTAGGAGTTTATTGATGACTATGAAGTCTTTGAGAAGCAAGTGTATGATCTAGACCGACGTCTGGGAGCCATTCTATGCCAAGGCTTTGATGACTGCGCAGGACTAGAATCTGTCTTTAAGGTCTGTATTCAGATTCTTTCTTCTTTTTGATTGTTGGAGAGGGGAAAGTTAAACAACCCTTGGTTTGCAATTTGTCTTAGAAACTGTTCCATGAATCAGCCAAGACTCTATGATTCTAAGTCAATATTCCTAACCATTAGGCCACATTCACTCCAAATTCTTAGCACGGTCTAATATTTTTAGTCTGACGATCCTCATAATTGTCCATCCACAGATGCTAGACTGCTACGGGCCGATGCTAGACCGGCCAGTCATCAAGGACGACTTTGAGCCCAAGTATCCAATCCTCCTTGCCATGTTTGATGAGGACCTAGACAAGGCTAAGGAGGTCTATGACAAACAGATGACATGCATTGACAAGATGGACGGCCGGCCGCCTCTCAATAAGAACATGCCGGAGGTAGGCGGATCACTCAAGTGGTCCAAGGAGTTAGAACATCGCATCAGTAACCCAATGGCAAGCTTCAAGCACGTAGAACACCCGTAAGTACATGATTAGGAACAACTTTTTGTATTTCGACTTAAAGGATTATTTTCTAATGAAATAAAAGATCATTGAGAACTAAGCAATGTAAATGTTACAGAAAAGTTCTTCCTTGCCAACAACTAGCGCAAAGTCAGTTTATTTTATCATTTCAGGAAATAGATATTTCTTGACAAATTCAATGTTCACATTGTGGACTGGTGAAGTCAATGCATAGATAATGAATTTCCTATAATTAAAGGTATTGCTTAAACATGTTCCATTGGTCTCAAAGTGATATTACAGCCATTTTAATAAGTCGTATCCCAATTCTTAACGTACCTTTAAAATTAATTCATTTTCGCTTTTTTAAATGGAATTTGAAACGGACACAAACTAGAAACATGCCTTCTTACCTTTACCTGTGCTGCAAAAACAATTTTAATTTCTTTTACTTCACTGTCATTATGCACTGGAATGCTGCATGGCATGGCACAAGGAATGATGTGTGTGTATTGTTATTCCAATAATCTCATATTGTAGTCAGACATTTGCATGACAAACCCTCTGATCATTTATGTTTGCGTGGTTCCCTTTTCCTTCCTTTGCTGTGGAAATGCAGAACCGGAGTCAGGAGGTAATGGACCCGACCGCTGGCTGAGCTAGCCTTCAAAGTTTCTTTCATTTTGTTGTTGTTATTTTTGATTGGTTGCTGAAATTGGTTGCTGAAATTTGGTTTGCTTAGGAGACGAACAAATTAAAATCAACAGAAATCTATTCAGTATTTCTGATTTTTTGTCAATTTTGTTTACCACATTTTCATTCAGGATAGTTAAATAAAACAAATTTAGACACCAATTTCAGCAACACGCCAAATGTGACTGGTTTGGTTTGGGTTTGGTGTGCATTTGTTTATTCTTTGCAAGTTGGATGGATTGGTGCACCACTTTCTCATTTGTTTCACATTGTATTTCCAGGTGAAAGAAGCACAAGTGGTGTTAATGTTTTTTGTTTTTGTTTTGGTTTTTCCTTTGTTTGGTTAATTTCACTTTATCTTTTCACCATATCTCATTCATTGATCAATCCGATTTTCAGGTTTCAATTTTTCACCCTATTCCTCTATTTTGTTATTTTCTGCCTAATATCACCACTCTAAGAAAACACCTCAGAGGTGCACCACTCTATGAACCTTTAAGAACAATCTGAAGAGTGTATTTTGGTTTCCTAATTCGTGACTTTTCTCAATGTATAGATACGTTTTGACATATATTTGTCGTTTTTCTATAGCTTGATATTAACTAATCTTCCTGTTGTAACTTTGGTTGTGCATTTTTTTTTTGTAGGGGATGGGTTAGTTCCTTGAAAATAATTTGGTTATTCTCAGAACCATATAGTTTTTAGGCCAAGTCACTTCACATGGCTTGCCCGTAAACTTTCTCCAAGTTGTCGTAATGTGGTGTAACAATCATACAACATGCAATATGTTGTTCAAATATGTCAACATTCATATAGGCCTACAAAGCCCCCAAAAGATGAACAGTAGCTCCTTATAAAAAAAAGGGGGGGGGGAACAAATCATCCTTTTTTGTATTCATTTGGTGTGGCATTGTTGTATTTGCATGAAAAGTTTCATTGCATGATTTGTTACAGCCATGAAATACATTTTCACAGACGCAATCATTGTGATCAAGCTGAGAAATTAGTTGTTGGAGTTCAGTTTATCCAGATTGTTTCTTAGACATGCACAGACTAACATAGAAGATTGGTTGTAAATCTAATTGTGCAAGTTATGTTTTCCAGTTGGCTATAAATCAAACAAGAATTTTGTGCAAGTTGACACATTTTTTTTGTGGGATTATTTTCAGGATTATCCAGTCTGATGAGGCAACAACAATCTTCACAAAGTATGAAGAAATGATGGACCTCTTGGGCAAGTACGTGATACACTAATATTTTCCTTTTTAAAATTTACTTAGTTTGGTTATAAATTTAAATAGATTGTGGTTTTTTTTGATGGATTTTATTACAGCCTGCATTCCATGTCTGTGTTTTGTTTCTAGATACAATGACAATGCTTACAAGGAATGGACAGCAGGCGTGGATGAGATCTGTAAAGTCAACCTGAATCAAGCGCTCATCAATCGCAACAAGGACAACGACCTTATTGCCGTCAATTTTGATCCTAAGGTAATAAAACAGACTTCTCTTTTCATTACTTTCATGTGAAAACACAGTGATTGTGAAATTTGAAAACTGTTGCTTTTGGATAAACCTAAATTGGAATTTACTTGTTACAAAACAGACTCAACGAAATGTGGAATTATGGACCGTGAATATTGTCACAGATACATTTCTGATCTACTGTCTTTAGCTTGTTGCAGTGCTTCGGGAAGTCAAATATCTCCTCATAAGAGGGCATGAGAGTATTCCAGAAAGCGCAGCCGGAATCTACAGCAAGCATGAGACGCTGCGAAAGTTCAACGCCAACTTGGACCTGACGGTGGCCTGGTACAACAAAGTACGAGAGAACGTCTTGGAAGTAGAGTTCCCGTTAGTTGAGGGTCAGTTGGTGTCGATTGACCAGCAACTGAAGCGGGCCGAGGAGACCTTGAGCTGGGAAGGCGAGGGCGTCTGGGAGTATATCCAGGAGACGCGAGACCACGTACATGACTTGGAGAAGAGAGTCCAGCGGGCCAAGGACAATGTGGACCTGATTAAGAAGATCATGGAGGAATGGTCTAAGACGCCGCTGTTTGAGCGTAAGGAGTTGAAGGACTCGGCGCTGCTTGCCCTTGATGATCGGGAAGAGAGGATGAACAAGAGATACGGGGACATCACTGCTTCCGGCGAGAGAATACATACACTTGTGAAGGTAAATTTTTAGTCTCTGTCAAGTTGGTATTTTATGGTGGCTTTGCCTTAGGTGAGAAACCACCTCACTGAACACAGACAGTACAACTTTGGATTCAGTAAATATCATGAGATTTGTAAGACGTGTGCCTTCACGCTCCCCTTGTATTTACTTTGAGTTTTTATATTGCTGTAATTTGGGTTCGAAGTAATGTAATGTTTAAGCTAATGTGTGATTTTTCTTGTGAACTTGCAGGAAAATTGTGAGCTGTTCAAGGCCGACTCAACTACAGACATCTGGAAGGCATACATCGACTACGTTGACGATATGTTGGTGGATGGGTTCTTTGCATGCATCAACTGTAGCATGACCTACATGTTGGAAAACACAGACACCAAGTGCATATCACCTCTCTTTGAGGCCAAGCTTGAACTACAGGTAATGTTTATTATAAAAGAGTTTAAGACTTTGAAATTTGATAGCATTCGTGAGTAACAGCTTCTGGTTTTCTCAGTTTGTCAAAGCGTAGCTATACAAAATTGTTGACTGGGCTTTTGTGAAGTGATAGCAGATGCTACAGTGTCGCCTACTTGTACTTTCGCACGGAGCTGTATTTTGAATCCTTGACTGTGAAACACATTTAAGTTGATGAAACATATATTAAATAAGGGTTAAACCACCCCTTTTTACCCTTTCCCGTGTACTGCAGGCTCCAGACATGGTCTTTGTGCCGTCCTTAGACTACGGTATTGCCGCCGGCTTCTATGACCTGGTTGAGATGCTTATCAGTGATATCTACAAGATGGCGTCCCTCGTCAAGAGGCTTGCAGAGCACAACGGCTCAGAACATTATCAGGTATGAAGAATCAAGTGCCATCAACAAAAATATCTAATCAAAGAAATCATCAATTAAAAATACTGTAGCTTTCCTGGAATGAGTGAGTCGTAATGTTCCGTTGCCTTTTCTCAGAGTGACTTGGAGGAGATGTTGGATCTATCCGACATGCGTCAGGAGCTGATGGACAGGGTCAACACCATCATGAACAAGGCTCAGGAATACCGTAACTCCTTTGACAACTACGCCTACCTGTGGGTGGACGATCGTAAGGAGTTCATGCGACAGTTCCTGCTGTACAACCACGTCTTGACTACGGAGGAGATTGAGGCACATGCTGAGGATGGGGTGCCTGAATGCCCGCCTACTCTGGACCAGTTTAAAGAGCAGGTAGGAAGCAAACCATGTTGTGCTTCATTGGGTTTTGCCTTTGGAATTTCATTAACACTGTCTACTTAGTGTTGCCTGAGGGCTGGCTCGAAAGAATTCGCACTCTTACTCATGTGGGACTAGGACCCATGGCCTTCTGTTGACCATGACAGAACAAAAAGTTAGAATGGATACATCATGTGTTTAATCTATAATTATAAGTCTATAATGAACTTGAAGTGTCGCCTTGATTGAAATGACTTAACTCAGGTCTGTTGGTTTTCCAACTGTACGTTTTCTTCAATATTTATTTGTGTTCCTTGTGTAGGTGGATTCCTATGAGAAGATCTACAGTGAGGTTGATGAGATCGGTGCCATCCACGTCTTTGATACCTGGTTCCGTGTGGATGGTAGACCCTTCAAACAGGCTCTGCTGAACATCATCAAGAAATGGAGCTTCATGTTCAAGCAGCACCTGATTGATCATGTGACCAACAGGTTAGACCCATATCATCTTAAGGGTTTTCAAATTCTTTGGATTCTTCTGGTGTTAGCTTCAGTAGATTAGGCTGTTGACTTGGGAGACCCTGTTAGTATGGGTCCATATTGAGGTTTAAAGGCGCATAGGATCGATCATTTACAACTACCTTGAAACGTACCTACCGATTTAAAAAAGAAAATCCTGGCTCCTGGCATAGCATGCCAGTGGAGCCTCTTTTTCAACTTAATTACGTTGCCAATTGTCCTAAGCTGTTGTTTTTCTCTCCTTCATTTCTCATTAGCCTAAGCGAGCTTCAGGACTTCATCAAGATGGCCAACACCGGCCTGACTAACCCTGTAGAAGAAGGTGACTATACCGGCCTGGTGGACTGCATGGGTCATCTGATGGCTGTCAAGGATCGGCAATCAGCTACTGATGAGATGTTTGAACCACTCAAACAGACAATTGAGCTGCTTAAGACTTACGATCAGGAGATGCCTGAGGAGGTCCATACACAGCTGCAGGTGAGATCTTGTTTGCTGCTGGATTATGATTGAATTCCTTAAAGTGGTAACAAGTCAATCAGGTATTATCACAAGTTATGTCAGTCACAAGTCAGTCACATGTCAATTACAAGTCAGTCACAAGTCTTCCTGAGTCAGGCACAAGTCCATTGCAAATTGTATCTCAAATCAAGTGCAGTGGAATTTACTTTTTCCTTCAAATTCCAATTCTGATGACTGCAGGAGTTACCCGAGCAGTGGAACAACACCAAGAAGATTGCCATTACAGTCAAGCAGCAGGTAGCACCCCTACAAGCCAATGAAGTCTCCATCATTCGCAGGAAGTGCACATCATTTGATGTAAGTCCAATTGTCCGTTTTTGGAAAGGCACACCTCTAACAAAGTTAACATTATTTATTGCTCTTAGAATTGTTATTATTTATACCTTTCTATATTGTGCCAAATTGTGTTTTAAAAGCAGCGCTAATAATTTTTCACATTTTCCCCCCGAATCTTTCAGGTTAAGCAGCATGAGTTCAGAGAAAGATTCCGCAAGGAAGCTCCATTCCTGTTTGATTTCGAAGATCCATACAGGGCTCTCGATGAGGTAAGAAAAACGGGGCGTTGATTTCAAGATTGGAGCCTAAGAGACCTAAATACATAGTAAAACCATAGACCATTTGTTTTCTTTAAAACGGTTTGTATTCCGGATTGCCAATGTAAACAACAATGCAGTGTATTTTCACTACATGTTACTGCATGGAAAGGTTTCTATTTTGATTGAGATTGGATTATTCTTTGTGAAACCCTTTCCAGTGTCACATGACCATCTTTGAGATGGAGAAGCTGATGGCAGAGCTGCAGGAATCCGCCAGTCTGTTTGAGGTCAACGTGGCTGACTACAAACAGCTCAAAGCTTGCCGCAAGGAAGTACGATTACTCAAGACACTCTGGGATATGATTGTCATCGTACGCTCCAGGTAAGCTATACTTCAATGGAAATTTGATACTCCAGTCTGTACTCAACTGCTGTTTCATGTTTCATTAACCTAACCAATTTTTTGAAACCTTGCCCAAGTAAAGCCACATGCAATATTTTCTCTTGGAAAAAAACTCAATTTATTCTGAGTAAAAACAACTCAACTGCTGTTGTATGTTTCAAATCCTTAAACTCTTAGCATTGATGACTGGAAGACCACCCTCTGGCAACAGATCAACGTGGAGCAGATGGAGATCGACTGCAAGAAGTTTGCCAAGGACATCCGTTCCTTGGACAAGGAGATGAGAGCCTGGGATGCCTACGGTGGTCTGGAGTCCACAGTCAAGAACATGCTGACGTCACTGAGAGCTGTCAGTGAGTTGCAGAACCCGGCTATCAGAGATCGCCATTGGCAGCAACTCATGCAGGCCACAAAGGTAATACTATGGGATTTATCTTTAAACATGAACTGTAGCTTGGATTTCTGCAGAGCTTGGGGGGAGAAGACTGAAGAAATGTTTATATTTTATAGGTAAAGTAGTAAAAGTCTTGTCCCCTTTTCATCTGAACCTAGGTGAAGTTCCTTATGGACGAGGAGACCACCCTATCAGACCTGCTTGCATTGAACCTGCACAACTTTGAAGACGAGGTGCGTAACATCGTAGACAAAGCGGTCAAGGAGATGAGTATGGAGAAAGTCTTGAAGGAGCTGGATACTACCTGGTCTACCATGGAGTTTGAGTACGACAAGCATCCACGCACGGGTATCCCATTGCTACGCTCCAGTGAGGAACTGATCGAAACGCTTGAAGACAACCAGGTAAGTGTTGGAATCCTTTGAACTCTACCTTTACAGGTACGCATTTATATTCCTAAACGGAGAGAGGCAATTGTTGTAAAGTGTCTTGCCCAAGAACACAAGCACCATGATCCTTTGTCGGGGTACTCAGTCAACATAGCCTTGGTGCTTGAGGCATCATTTCTACAGTACAACCTTATATTTTTGTGAATTGGGGACCTGGAAGAAAGGTCTGGCAACATCAATGTGGCTTTCAATGGTCAATAACGTTTAAAACTTACAAATCACCAGTTTCGCTTCCCTCCTTCTGTAGGTCCAACTTCAGAACCTAATGACCTCCAAGTACATCGCTCACTTCCTTGAAGAAGTCTCCGGTTGGCAGAAGAAACTCTCCATCGCTGACTCTGTCATCAGCATCTGGTTTGAGGTCCAGCGGACCTGGTCCCATCTGGAGAGCATCTTCATCGGGTCTGAGGACATCCGTAATCAGCTACCCGAGGACTCCAAGAGATTTGACGGAATCGACACGGACTTTAAGGTTAGTTTTCATTGGTCTCTTGTTGCTTGCTTTAGTCAGTAGCAAGATACATCACATAAGATGGTGGATGGCTAAAATAAAGTCCAGTTCGGGCACACTCTAATATTTCATTGCTTTTTCCAAACTTGATGTTGTAGGATCTGATGAACGATGCTGAGAAGACACCAAATGTTGTCCAGGCCACCAACAAAGACGGGCTGTTCGAGAGATTGGAATCTCTGCAAGCAAAGTAAGACACAGTATTTCAGTTTTGAAATCAAAGATGTTTTGTCGATCGGTCAGTTAAAAATTGGCTGTGCATACTCTGCAGTAAAAACAAGTGTTGCCACACGTGGTTTGTCCTTGGATCTTGTGAATGGAATCTCTGCATGAAAGAATGAGGGCGCTATGTAGCCTTACCTTATTGAGTGTGGACACACTTTTCTTCGCACACGCTGCGCATTTTGTTATATCAGGGTGCCTGGGCTAAGCGCTGCGCGGTTGTCCTTCAATATTGTGGCTCAGACTCATTTTTCCAATTGAGAGGGTACTTGACGCCCCTAATGAATCACACATATACAGACGTTACGTCACTCACGACCTTCCCTTTACTCCTGCTAGGCTGACCATCTGTGAGAAGGCATTGGCTGAGTATCTGGAGACCAAACGTCTTGCCTTCCCAAGATTCTACTTTGTGTCTTCAGCTGATCTGCTGGACATCTTATCCCAAGGCAACAACCCCACACTGGTAAAGTCAAACTCTGTTGCTTAGCTCATAAATTTGAAGAGTCCAATTAATTTCTGCTTCGCACCCCCAGTAAATGCCCAGTAAATTTTCTTCTAGTAAGCTCGTTATCATTAAATACTTAAGCTAGCAATCTGCAGCATGAGCAAAAACTACAAAAAGAAAAGTCGAAATTTTTTTTTCTCTACGTAGCAATCATTCTTATTTTCCCATTTGTCACTGTATTTTCTTGCAGGTTCAACGTCATCTTGCTAAGCTGTTTGATAACACCGCTAAGCTGAAGTTCCAGCAGGACGATGAAGGCAATGACACCAAGGAAGCACTGGGCATGTACAGCAAGGAAGGAGAGTATGTGGACTTTGATGCTCCCTGCGAGTGCTCCGGTCAGGTATGTTCATGACAGAGAGAGAACATCGATGATGTTTTGTAAAAATGTCATTTATGTAAAATCCATTGATTATGATCAAGTTGGAAGTCCTGGCTCCGACAAAGACAACCTTAAAATAAAGTTTAGTTATTTGAAACAGCTAAAAAGCTTTAATCCCGGAATTATTTTCTGTGCCTTTGATTGCCAGGTTGAGGTGTGGCTGAATCGTTTGATGGACACCTCCCGCTCCACCGTCAAAAATCTCTTCAACGAGGGAGTCAACACCTACGAGGAGAAACCCAGGGAGCAATGGCTGTATGACTTCCCTGCTCAGGTGGCTCTGGCGTCGACTCAGGTCTGGTGGTCCACTGAGGTCAGCATTGCTTTCGCTAGGCTGGAGGAAGGCCATGAGAACGCCATGAAGGAATACAACAAGAAACAGGTTAGTAGAGTGGAGATTGATGATCACTTTATGAATTGCACAACAGCATTGTCGCTTTGTGATCAGGTCTGAGAGCCCCAGTGGGTGAGACACTGCACGCGAGTAGTGGTTCGTGGGTATATTGCGCGAAGTATGTGCAACTTATTTCACCTCAATTTGCAAAAACCTATGCCATCTTTGCCTGAGCGTTGAGCGCCGTTTGCAATGCATTTGAATGTCTCTCCCAGAGGTCTCCCCCAACTTTCTCTGTGTAACCGTTCAGGGGATACTTGAAGACAGAGTCCATAGTTCTTGGTAGAAGGTGACTAGTACCTCATTATTTGTATTTTTTATCCCACCACAGGTCCAGCAGCTGAACACACTCATCAACTTACTGATTGGTGACTTGTCTAAGGGAGACAGGCAGAAGATCATGACTATCTGTACCATCGATGTGCACGCCCGTGACGTAGTCGCTAAACTGGTCTTAAACAAGGTTAGCACCTATCCTAGTCACTACACTAATTGTTCCAAGGCAAGGAAAATACCACGGTGTAAACCAAACCGTCCTCTGGACTGGGATTAATTCTTTTGAAAGGATTAACACTTCTGCTGACTTTGTCTGATTTTTACAGGTTGAGAACTCGCAGGCCTTCCAGTGGCTCAGCCAGCTCCGCCATCGCTGGGACGATGACAAGAAAGAGTGCTACGCCAACATCTGTGATGCCCAATTCCACTACTCCTATGAGTATCTGGGCAACACCCCTCGTCTTGTCATTACCCCACTCACTGATAGGTAGGTCACTAACTCTGAGGACTGTCCACACTAAAGAACGATTCCGTTCTCATTCTTTCATTTGTCACTTTTTGGAGTGACAGCAAATAATAAAACCCAATATTTGTGGTTGATTTAGATGCTACATCACCTTGACCCAGTCCCTCCATCTGATCATGAGTGGCGCTCCAGCAGGACCAGCTGGTACCGGCAAGACAGAGACTACCAAGGATCTTGGCCGGGCCTTGGGTATCATGGTCTATGTCTTCAACTGCTCCGAACAGATGGACTACAAGGTAATCGCAACAACATTTTAGCAAAATATAGCTTAACTTGTAATGTAGCATAAGGTATACAATGTGTTTACAATTGTCATTTCAAAAAATAGTTATAGTTTTCAAGGTATATCATACTGATAATTTCTTCATCTCAGTGGTGTTTCTTTAACTGTTGTGCATGAAACTGAATCCCGGAGGCACGCCACAACCTCTACAATCGAACTTGAGTGTTATATAGTTAAGAGTAATGATTTTTAAGACTAAGTACTTTCTTTTTATAGAAATGAAACCATCGTCAACATTTTATTATGTTATCTTTTCTCCTTGCAGTCCTGTGGTAATATCTACAAGGGTCTGTCTCAGACTGGTGCCTGGGGCTGCTTTGATGAGTTCAATCGTATCTCGGTGGAAGTACTGTCTGTAGTAGCAGTCCAGGTAAGTTATGCTTGTCCATAGCCTTCCAGATGTTTGCACTCACAATCACCGTTCTGTGCTTGCAGCACTAGCACAGATATTCTGCTGATTGTGCAGCTACATGAAATTGGAACCAGACCTTCAAGCAGGACCGTCTCATTCTATTTTTCCTCTCATCTTTCCCTCCAGGTCAAGTGTGTACAGGATGCCATCCGAGACAAGAAGTCCCGCTTCAACTTCCAAGGCACAGAGATCTCCATGGTGCCTACTGTGGGGATCTTCATCACCATGAATCCTGGCTACGCTGGCCGGACAGAGCTGCCCGAAAACCTCAAAGCACTCTTCAGGTGAAGTTTTGTTCTGATAAAAATGGTAACCAAAATTGAACAAGTGCATCAACACACAAGTTATAGGGATAATCTAGGACTGGAAATCAGTTTGTTTGGTTTTGTTTTAAAACTGTGTGAAGACTCATGTGTCCTTGTGTCCCTTAGCAACATACTTTATCAGTATCTTCCATGTGTCTTGTGTGATTTATTTTGGTTCTGCAGGCCCTGTGCTATGGTGGTGCCAGACTTTGAGCTGATCTGTGAGATCATGTTGGTGTCTGAGGGTTTCCTGGAGGCCCGTCTGCTTGCTCGCAAGTTTATCACGCTGTACACTCTGTGTAAAGAGCTACTGTCCAAACAGGTCAACTGAAGGTTCATTTTATGTAGAGATTCATTTACCTTCTTTGAGTGTAGCCTCAAAACTTTCTATGTAATGACTGTTGAATTCTTCTGTTCACAGGATCACTACGATTGGGGTCTGCGTGCCATCAAATCCGTCCTAGTGGTGGCCGGTTCCCTCAAACGCAGTGACAAACAGCGTCCTGAAGACCAAGTGTTGATGCGAGCTCTGCGTGACTTCAACATCCCCAAGATTGTCACGGACGACATGCCAGTCTTCATGGGCTTGATCGGGGACCTGTTCCCGTCCCTGGACGTCCCCCGTAAACGTCAGATGGACTTTGAGAAGCTGGTCAAGAAGTCCACCCTTGATCTCAAGTTGCAAGCTGAGGATAATTTCATCTTGAAGGTGGTTCAGTTGGAGGAGCTGTTGGCTGTCAGACACTCTGTGTTTGTCATTGGTAATGCTGGCACTGGCAAGAGCAAGGTAGGAGACCAGGAATAGTTTATTAGAAATCTTTAATTTTTGAATTGTAATAGTCAACCTCAGATCATTGTAGTATCGTACTTTAGACCTTTAAAGATCTTGGCAAAACCCTAACTCGTGCAACTCTCTCTGATAACGTCAACAGGTATTGAAGGTGTTGAATCGTACCTACTTCAACCAGAAGCAGAAGCCAATCATGCAGATCCTAAACCCTAAAGCTGTGACCAATGATGAGCTGTTTGGCATCATCAACCCAGCTACTAGAGAATGGAAAGACGGTGAGTGTGCGTGGTGGCCATCTTGGTCTGGTATCTGTAATACTGTTGTATAAATTGGTCAGACATTTGTCACCAGATAGTAGGTGCCAGACTTTTTATGAGACTCTTGTTCAGAGCATTTTTGCAGATGTCTACTGTAAATTGCTTCAATTTCTGCAGGAGTCTTTCCTTTTTGTTTAAAAAGTGTTACTGTTTAAACAAAATGTACTTGTTTCTTTCAGGTCTGTTTTCTGTGATCATGCGAGACATGAGTAACATCACCCACGAGTACAACAAGTGGATCGTTCTTGACGGTGACATTGATCCAATGTGGATCGAGTCACTCAATACCGTCATGGATGACAATAAGGTAAAAACCTGAATCTGGAACTATAGAGGCCACAACAAATTTAAAAATAGGTTTATTGGGCCTGGTTAATGTATAATTCCCAGGTGGCTGAGTTCTTTAAATGTGTTGAATTTCTTAATTTGGTTGTATCAGATGAATGCATTTTACTGATTTCAGAAATTGCCTATTTTTGCAATGGGGCATTCTGTATAATCACATTGAAATTTCTTAACGTGTTTCCTCTTGATTTTGTTCTGACATCCTAGGTCTTGACCCTCGCCAGTAACGAGCGTATCCCCCTGTCTCCCTCCATGCGTTTGCTGTTCGAGATCAGTCACTTGCGGACTGCCACTCCTGCCACCGTGTCTAGGGCTGGCATCCTGTACATCAACCCGTCTGATCTGGGCTGGAACCCGTAAGTATCACTACGTCTGGTACCTCAAACTTACGATCTGAGGATTCTTTGCTCACAGCTAGGGCTAGCGTAGAATAACTGCTAGAATAAAAACTTAACATGCTTTAAGGCAGAATTATGATTGTAAGTGTAGATTTCCGAGTTAAGCTGAGCCATGAAATAGGGCTGTTCGGGCTGTGCTGAGACAAAGAAGAAACGGTGTCAGAAGTGGGATTCAAACCTATATCACAGAGATGGATGGTGAGGAACGTATCTCTGCACTATACCACTAGACCTTCACAATTCAAGGAAATTAAGATTGTTCTGAATTTCTCCTGTACAGGGTTGTGACCAGCTGGATCGAGACCAGGGAAGTACAGTCTGAGCGTGCCAACCTGACCATTCTCTTTGATAAGTATCTTCCAGCTGTCCTGGACACTCTCAGGATCCGATTCAAGAAAATCATTCCCATTCCAGGTAGGTTGTCGTAGAATTTGCCAATCTGTAGAGCAAATACTAGACACAATTCAACCTTCGTTCTTAATCAGTATTGAGTAAATCATTGTTTTAAATCAAATTGATAATGTTATGTTTTCAATTTTCGCAATTGTTTTGTCTGTAAACAGAGCAAAGTATGGTCCAGATGTTGTGCTACTTGTTGGAGGTGCTTCTGACACCAGAAAACACCCCACCTGACTGTCCTAAGGAACTCTATGAACTCTACTTTGTCTTTGCTTGCGTCTGGGCCTTCGGTGGTGCCATGTTCCAAGATCAGGTTTGTGTTCCTCATTCCCCCCCCCCCTTCAAGACCCCCTACCCACTCTCCCTTGCCTTTCTAGCAGTCCTAAGAAACACTGCACAACTTTGGCATGATGTAAACACTTCTGGTCTTTTCTGAATATATCACCTTGTTGATATTTGAACACTATTATTTTGTTTCTGTCCATGCAGTTGGTTGACAACCGTGTGGAGTTCAGCAAATGGTGGGTGACTGAATTCAAGACTATCAAGTTCCCTGGCCAGGGGACCGTCTTTGATTACTACATCGACCCTAGCTCCAAGAAATTCACCCCATGGACCGAGATGGTGCCAAAGTTTGAGTTGGACCCTGAAATTCCTCTTCAGGTAAGCCGCAGAAAAACAAAATTGGGGGTATCATTTAATTTTGCAGCAGTCTGAAGATCAGTACACCAACTAACAGCACAATTTGTTTACCATCAACTGTACTTGTATATTTTGTAGGCTGTGTTGGTGCACACTGCAGAAACCACACGCGTTCGTTACTTCATGGATTTGTTGATGGCTAACGGCCGGCCAGTCATGCTGGTCAGTAACGCCGGTCTAGGCAAGAGTGTACTGGTTGGGGATAAGCTGAATGCACTGTCTGAGGACTACATGGTGGCCAACGTGCCATTCAACTACTACACCACCTCAGAGATGTTGCAAGGTAAGGTTTCCATGATCATAGAGTCCCTAAGATGCTTAGATGCAGAAATAATCTGCTCGTGTTTGAACTGTAGCCCATCTCGTCAAACTGTAGCCACTCATACGCCGTATCAAGAGAAAGGAGCTGAGCTCTACCTTCCTCAATCCTACAAACTCCTTCAAAATCCTTTGGATTTTGAGGAGTATGAGAGAGCTAGGATTAATTCCCAAGTCTCAATCTGTCTCAGGTGTCTTGGAGAAGCCCTTGGAGAAGAAAGCCGGTCGCAACTTTGGTCCTCCAGGAACCAAGACGCTCGTCTACTTCATTGACGACATGAACATGCCTGAAGTGGACACCTACGGCACCGTGCAGCCCCACACGCTGATCCGCCAACACATGGACTACAAGTGTTGGTACGATCGCACCAAGCTGTCGCTGAAGGAGATTCACAACTGCCAGTATGTGTCTTGCATGAACCCTACAGCTGGTAGCTTCACTATCAACTCCAGACTCCAGGTAAGATGTGCCTCAAAGATTGTTACTTTTATTTTAGACACTTATGGTCGTAAAATCACAGATTTATCAAAACTTCATGGCAGAATTATTCCATCACAAGTCATTAACGAGTTGAATCACAAGTCTAATCAAGTGCAATCATAAATAATTAAAGGAATACCTTGTCACAATTAATATGTTAAGCTCGAAACCTAAATTTAGACTTAATATTTTCTGGTCGACATTCAAAGACTCGTTTCAATCTCTTGAGCATCTTTGAATTTCTTCATTGTCTTATAGCACCTAGTGTCATGTTTTTCATAGATCCAAGTCCTAAAGGAATATCACCGTTATTTTGTTTTCTTGTCCCTCCAGCGCCATTTCTGTGTCTTTGCCCTGAGTTTCCCCGGTGCGGACGCCTTACAGCACATCTACAGCAGCATCCTGAGCCAGCATCTAGCTATGATCACTGCTCCACAGGTCATCCAGAAGATGGCCGTCACTGTGGTCAATGCTGCCCTAGATCTACACAAGAAGGTTGCTCAGACATTCCTGCCTACTGCCGTCAAATTCCACTACGTCTTCAACCTGAGAGATCTGTCCAACATCTTCCAGGTCAGCATCTCCTGCCTCTAAAACTCTTCTTTTTTTTTTAAATTGAAATTTGTTGCATGTGAAATATGATAATCATAACAATTTTGTTGCCATACTAAATCTTAATTATGGCAATCAGGGCAGTGAGATTTGGTTTTGGAGATTCTTTCTTGTGGTTCACATTTTGTTTTTGTTAACTTGTGTATTTGCAGGGGCTGCTCTACTCCACCCCTGACTGCTTGAAAGCGCCGGTGGATTTTGTACGGCTCTGGCAACACGAAGCCACCCGAGTCTACGGTGACAAGATGATTGATGACAAGGATATTGAGACCTTTAGCAAAACAGTGCAGGACTTCAGCAAGAAATTCTTCGAGGTAGGTCTTCAGATGTTGACTCCTAGCTCGTACCTCTTCAGATGTTGACTCCTAGCTCGTACCTCTTCAGATGTTGACTCCTAGCTCGTACCTAAATAGGTTGCCCATAACGAGCCAAATATTCACCAGTTTACAATCCACACATTTTTTTTCTGTCCATGATTGAGGATTGTTGTTGTAAATATAGAGCGGAAAAAGCAAAAGATACCCTGAGTTTAATTTTACTATTGGAAATGGATAGGGGGAGATTTTTCAAATGTAATTGTTCAAAAAAGCTTCCAAATGTGAACATCTATTGAAAGTGTCTTTTCTGATAGATGTTTATAAAATGCGAAATTGCACTGCACGACAAGTAAACTGTGGCTGTGGGAAAACTTGGGTTTTAATAATGAAAGAACTGTGGAACACACGCATCTATTGGGCAATTGTGCTTAGGAATTTCTCCTGAGACTTAACATGTACTTGCCTTGAGAACTATTTTTCACACTCTTGCCGTTCTTATCTGACCTCTTGTACCCCCTTCCTCTGCCTCCCTTAATTTTCAGGACGTGGATGAGCAAGCCATGAATGCCAAGCCTAACATCTACTGCCACTTCGCCAGTGGTATGGGTGACCCCAAGTATCTAGCCATACCTGACTGGCCTGATCTGAGCAAGCTACTGGCCGAGGCTTTGGACAGCTACAATGAGATCAATGCTGTCATGAACCTGGTGCTGTTTGAAGACGCCATGCAGCATGTGTGAGTGGACAATTCATCCCTGTGATTACAAAAAGAAATTGGCCTTTTCCCCTTGGATGGAAAAACATTCAATCAATCAGACATTGAAAATAGAGACGTAGGGCCTGGATTGATCAAATTTGTTTCAAACGCTGCACCATTTTTTTGCCTTCCCTAACACTCCTAGTTGTCGCATCAATCGTATCTTGGAGTCCCCTCGAGGCAATGCTCTCCTAGTCGGTGTGGGAGGCAGTGGCAAGCAGAGTCTGGCTCGATTAGCCGCCTACATCAGCAGCTTGGAAGTCTTCCAGATCACACTCAGGAAAGGCTACGGGATCCCAGATCTCAAGGTATGAAGGGGAAAACTCCCAGACCTAAACCCATTTGCTCACTGAGAGTGACAGGCTAGGCATTGTCTGACTCGAGGGTGTGCTGTTCACAGTACCAAAGTGTATATTTCATTTAGCTGTGTTTGATATTATTTCCGTCAGATTTACTTTTTACTTTGTTTCACCTCAAAACACTGCTCTGAGGTCTTTGGGGTGATTATTTTAACAAAATTTATTTTGTCTCTTTCTTGTTTAATTTTTTAGCTTGATCTAGCCACGACCTGCCTCAAAGCTGGTCTCAAGAATATCGGCACTGTCTTCCTGATGACTGACGCCCAGGTGGCAGACGAGAAATTCCTGGTGCTCATCAACGATCTGCTGGCCTCGGGAGAGATCCCCGGCCTACTGGCAGATGACGAAGTGGAGAACGTCATCGCGGGGGTCCGCAATGAGGTCAAGGGTCAAGGTTTGCAGGATACCAGGGACAACTGCTGGAAGTTCTACATTGACAGGCTGCGTCGCCAGCTAAAGGTGGGTCGCATTTGTATCTCGATCAACCCTGTTATAATTTGGAAAATATTGAAGTTCCGAGTAAGCAAATATTGAAGTGTCTTTGAGAGTTTGATGGATCTTATTTAGTTAAATTTGAATTTCTTTTGTGATGTTGTTGCAGGTTGTTCTGTGTTTCTCTCCCGTGGGGAACACCCTGCGTGTGCGTGGTCGTAAGTTCCCAGCCATCACTAACTGTACCAGTATTGACTGGTTCCATGAATGGCCTCAGGAAGCCTTGATGTCTGTCAGTAGCAGATTCCTGCAAGAGGTGGAACTTCTGGGGGTGAGTGGCACAAGGGTCTTTATCAAACCATGACTTCAACTCCGGGTTTGGATTCAAGAGATGTTAGGATCTTGACTTGGGAACCTTGGATCATAATTAGGTCCGTGTTTTGATTCGGAAAGTAATTCTGTGATCTGAGGTTACACATTACTCAAGTTTGTTTGAACATAGAAGGTTCTAAGTGTTTCTAAGGCCAGAGATTGAGCCGAAGCTGGTGACAATGCCAAGATTTGAAAATTGTTCCAATTTAATACACCATACCCCTTAGTGATTGATGAAATTGAAACTTTGCTATGGAATCAATGCAGATACTCTGGAAAGATTGACGTGGCTAACACTTTAACGTTCATTCGTTGAGATTAGCATTTAACTTGGTCACATAATTCTGTTGGAGCATGTGATGTAAATGCAGTGTAATCTGCATAAGTTAAACCTCAAGGGAACAGGTTCAAAATGTGACTAAAGCAGAGTTTTGAGTTAAGCAGGGTTGTATATCATTGTTATACTACTGAAGGGAATGGATTCTTTGTTTGACTTAACAGTTGTTTTGAGTTATCAGAGTTTGACTTATCGAGATTTCACTGTAATAGTATAAAAAAAGTCCACTGATCTATATTTGGTCACTTTAAGCACTTGACATAACTTTAATAACTGGACTAGTCAAATCATTTGAATGAGGTACTTCAAGACCTACGTTGATGAGCGTTGTTTGTGTTCATATTTGCAGCCTGAGTTGAAAAGCTCAGTGGCCGAGTTTATGGCCTACGTCCACACCAGCGTCAATGACATGAGTAAGATCTACCTGCAGAATGAACGTCGCTACAACTACACCACGCCTAAGAGCTTCCTGGAACAGATCAAGCTGTATCAGAACCTGCTGGGACAGAAGAGTAAAGAGCTGACAGCAAAGATGGAACGTCTAGAGAATGGTCTGACCAAACTACAGAGCACTGCTCAACAGGTGGGTAACCAATCATCTCAGTCATGGAAACTACAAGAGCAACCATCTGAGCAGGAGCTGCTTTGAAATCATCCGTTTCTTACCTCTTGGCCCTTTCTGCCTTGCAGGTCGATGATCTGAAAGCCAAGCTGGCCTCCCAGGAGGAGGAGCTCAAGCTCAAGAATGAAGACGCTGACAAACTGATCCAGATCGTCGGCGTGGAGACTGAGAAAGTCAGCAAGGAGAAAGCCATCGCTGATGAAGAGGAGAAGAAAGTAGCTGCCATCAACGAAGCTGTGTCTAAGAAGGCTAGAGAGTGCGAGGAAGACCTGGCCAAGGCTGAACCTGCCCTGAAGGCTGCTCAGGAAGCCTTGAACACTCTCAATAAGGTCAGTTCTAGTGTCTCTTTAATTTTAAACTTTGCTGATAACACCAAGGGTTCCTGAAAAGTGTACAGACTGAGAGAGAATGATGAAGAAATGTTCAGTTTTAGAGGTTTGAGGAAACAAGAAATGATGTTCTAAAGAAATTCACAGAATCAGGTAGGGACTGAAAACCCAATCCTCGTGCTGGGATTTGAACCTGGGCCACAGAGGTGAAAAGTGAGACAGGTACCACTGCAAGGGTTCACTTTTTGCATTCTTTTTTTCAATTTTGCATTACATGAGAAAAGCAAGACAGTTTTGAGGATTTCTAATTGTTTCTCGTTGGTTTGTGTCTTTCCCGTCTTCAGAATAACCTGACAGAGTTGAAGTCGTTCGGCTCCCCACCTAACCAGGTGGTCATGGTGGCCGGGGCAGTCATGGTCCTGCTAGCGCCCAACGGCAAAGTGCCCAAGGACAAGAGCTGGAAAGCCGCTAAGGTCATGATGGCCAAGGTAGGAGAGGCAACTTGAGCTGTCCATCCAGTTGGCTTCAGGCTTTGTCAAAATAGAAAAGTCTGGTGTTCAGAAATACATTGACATCGGGCAAATGACATGGCCTGATCGATGTTGATGCAGATGCAGCAACATAAGAGTGGCTTCTCAGCAAGCACCCAGAGATTCAACGTTTTTTTGTTTGTTTGTTTGGTTTCACACGCAAGAAGAAGAAGATCGGGCAAAACCTCATATACATTCCATCTTACAAATGGAAAAACCTGGTGTTGCTGTCGAGTTGTACGTAATTATAGTGTGGTGCCCGGAATCCAAGATCTTGTGGATTATTTCAATCAATCGTAGGTTCAAATTTAGCTTGTGTGATTAAGCTAAGTACTTAATAGACCGAGCAGGGGTGATAATGTTGCACCCAAAACTAAATGTTGGTTGGCTATTCAGGAGCCATGATCAGTCGTAATGGCTTCGCTTTATAACTCACAAGCTGATTTACCCGATCATAGATTGGGTAGGGCGTATTTGTGTTGGGGTTGAATATGTGGGGAGTTAAATGTAAACGGGAGATTTACTTGAGAAGACATGCAGTTTTGTAAAATGTAAATGGGGGATTTAGTTGAGAAGACATGCAATTTCTGTGGTGCGATCTGAGGCAATTTCTGACCACTATAGTAAAACCAATTGTTTCAAGCAAAATATCATCTTTTAAATACGTTTTTCGAGTTAGGAGTCATTGAATCAGCTATTCTGAGCAATAGAATCATTATAGTAGGCTACATCTTTTATTCGGGGAAGAAAAAGTGGGGTGAGGGACACCCTCCACATTTTTCCACGGACGTGGAGTGATTTTGGCGCCGCGGGAGACCGCGGTCTCGGATCCATTCAGGAGCAAACATTTCTCGGAGGCCGAGTAAAACTTGCTCTTATATATATAGATTTTGTTCTGGTTTTCCATGTTTTTTTTCTGAATTGCCAGGTCATCTGCCTGTTTGTTTTATCATTTTGGTAATTAATTCCGTACTCATAGCTATTGGATTTGAACATGAATTGGATGTTTTCATGATTGGTGTGCTGTCTTTTAGGTGGATGCCTTCTTGGATGCGCTCATCAACTATGACAAAGAACACATCCATGAGAACAGTCTGAAGGCCATCCGTCCCTACCTGGATAATCCAGAATTTGATCCAGACTTGATCCGTAGCAAGTCCATGGCCGCTGCTGGCTTGAGTTCCTGGGCCCTCAACATCGTCAAGTTCTATGAGGTGTACTGTGATGTGGAACCCAAGCGTCTTGCCTTACAGAAAGCCAACGATGAGCTCCAGGCAGCTCAGGACAAACTCTCCATCATCAAGGCCAAAATTCAGGTAAGTCTTTGACATCTGTATATTCGAGATGCAATTTCATTAATCATTAGCATTGGATGGGAATAATAGAGTCAATGTTTAAATGGAAAAAGTCATTTCCAAGCTGATCGCAATTCAATGACAATTCGGTCACAAGTTATTATTATTATTTATTTGACCTGGCCAAATCATACAAATACTTAAGAAAACAAGGCAAAACAAGCAAATAAATAAGTAAACTAACATACAAACAATCAAAGAAATGAATGAATAAGTAGTAAATAAAATAATATGTTAATTAAATAACATATTAAATAACAAACAAAATAAAGATTGAGAAATAAGAAAAATAAACAAGAAAACAAAAATGATTAAATAACAAAGTCAATCAGAAGTGAGTCACAAATCAGTAACAAGTCAATCATAAGTCAGTCACAAGGCCATCATAAGTCAGTCACAAGTCAATCATAAGTCAATCAAAGTCAATCATACTTCAGTCACAAATCAGTCACAAGTCAATCAAAGTCAGTCACAGGTCAATCATGCTTCAGTCACGGATCATTAACAAGTCAATAATAAGTCGGTCAGAAATCTATCGTGCGTCAGTGACAAGTCAATCAGAAGTCAATCAGAAATCGGTCACAAGTCAGTCAAAATCAGTCACAATTAGTCAATCATAAGTCTTTCACAAGTTAATCATAAGTCTGGTCACAAGTCAATTATAAGTCGGTCACAGATAAGTAACAAGTCAAAAATAAGTCAGTCAGAGATCAATCATACGTCAGTCACAAGTCACTCCAGACATACTAAGGGTTTGAACAGTGTCACAGTTGATTTGAAAAGCTGAGCACTTGACTTGATACCGACTGACTTAATGCCTTATGATTTACACAAGAACTTGATTACAGATCTGCCAAATGAAGTCAAGCAGAGGGTGCTTGAATTTTCATCTTTGACATTAAAATTGTTGAACGGTGTATGTGATTTCTTGACTTCTAGGAACTTGATGCCAATTTGGCCGAGCTGACCGCCAAGTTTGAGAAGGCTACAGGAGACAAGCTGAAATGCCAACAGGAGGCAGAGGCAACCACGCTGACAATCACCCTGGCCAACCGTCTGGTGGGTGGCCTAGCCTCAGAGAATGTACGTTGGGGTGAGGCAGTAGCTGCATTCAAAGAAGCTGAAAAGACCCTGCGTAAGTTGACCTATACTCTGTCAGGATTATACAGTGCTGCATCTACAGACCCAGCCGTGGTAAACTGGTCTAAAAATATGTCACTGCCATAAAATTCTGTGCACTCAGTTGTGTCGCTGCCCTCTGTTGACCAGTGCTGTACCTCATTTCTTTCTTGCAGCTGGTGATGTGTTATTGATCACTGCCTTTGTGTCGTACATGGGATGCTTCACCAAGAGCTTCCGTCTAGAGCTCATGGACAACATGTGGCTGCCTTTCATCAAATCACAGAAGGTAAAAACCTGGATTCTTTAAGAGTCACACACTTTGCTTTGACCATAAATCACTCTTAATAGATTTCACAGTCAGTAGCTGTCCATTCTAAGTTCAATCTTTTCCTGCTAGCTTGGTAGCTGCTCTTAGCTTATCAATGTATAAATCTAATTCACCCTCCTTCTTTCCACCAGACCCCAATCCCTACCACCGAGGGCCTAGATCCCCTCAGCCTTCTGACAGATGACGCCTCCATCGCCAGCTGGAACAACGAGAACCTGCCCAGTGATCGCATGTCCACCGAGAACGCAACCATCCTGTCCAGCTGTGAACGCTGGCCGCTCATGATTGATCCTCAGCTCCAAGGCGTCAAGTGGATCAAGACCAAATATGGAGAAGACCTGCGCGTGGTTCGACTGGGCCAGCGTGGGTACTTGGACGTTATTGAGCGGGCTATTTCCAACGGTGACACAGTTCTGATTGAGAATATGGAGGAATCGGTGGATCCAGTTCTAGACCCTGTACTTGGACGTAACACCATCAAGAAAGGACGGTAAGGGCTTTCTTCAGGCTTATTTTTTCAGTTAATTTTGCAGAACTGACAGAGAACAATTAAAATTACATTGACTTTTAAGTCTCTTGCTTCTAAAGAAGAACTTGTTAAGTTCGAAACGTCAGGCCGCATTTATTTGTTTAGATTTGTATACTTGAGGTCAATCCAGTCGGTAAGCAGTTTGCAGCAGTCCTATTCATTTTCATGACTTTGAAGTTGGATTTTTTTGTTAGGAAGTTCTATTTTACTTCAAGTTATAGTCAGTATGGGCTCCGTGCGCCAACAAAAGAGGGCGCATTTTTGCCTCTTTTGAGAGCTCCGTGAAAGGGATATACAGTGTGCACGTACTGTACTGTACTGCTTTGCGTGCGAAGTACGCACGACTTCCTGAATGTGTGCAAAAGTTATAGCCACCGCGTCTTCGCGTGAGCATCAGGCGTCGTCGGCGCGCGAATTCATTCGAATTCAACTTGCGATGGTCTCCGAGACTAATCCCCGCCTCCAATAACTTTGAATACATTTGAAATACGTAGTGGATGGATCGGGAACCAGTCTAGGTCACCCCCAACTCTCTTTTTCTGGCTGTTGATGGGGTACTTGTGCACAGAGCCCATACGGCATTTGGAGTTATTCACGTTAACTTGTCTTACCTTTCTACAGATACATCAAGATTGGTGAGAAGGAAGTGGAGTACAATCCGCTCTTCCGTTTGATCCTTCACACCAAGCTGGCTAATCCTCACTACAAACCTGAGATGCAGGCTCAGACCACGCTCATCAACTTCACTGTCACCCGCGACGGTCTGGAAGACCAGCTATTGGCTAACGTGGTGGCCCAGGAAAGACCCGACCTGGAAAAACTCAAGGTACCAGACTTGATGTCCGAGGATTACCATCTTGGATTTCTTACAGAAACTGTTGGTTCAGAGTGAGGCTAAGTTAAAAAAGTCTGGTGCCTACCTGGAAAAGGCCAAGGTATTGGTATCTTGGGCTCAGAGTGAGACTGAGGTTGAAAATAGACTGGTGCCAAGTAGGCTTAACACCTGGGCCGAATTTCATTAAGTTGGGTACCAGAAAATATTGCATTAGTATGTGTTAAGCAAAATTCGGTGTAGCAACACTAATTGTGACCAGCAAATCACTCACATTTTTATTTCAGTCGGACCTGACTAAGCAACAGAACGACTTCAAGATTATCCTTAAGGAGCTAGAAGACAACCTCCTCTCTCGTCTGTCCTCCGCTGAAGGAAACTTCCTGGGTGACACGGCCTTGGTGGAGAACCTAGAGACCACCAAGCGAACGGCCGCTGAGATTGAGGTCAAAGTTGAAGAGGCAAAAATCACGGAGGTCAAGATCAATGAGGCTAGGGAGCTGTACCGACCTGCTGCTGCCAGAGCCTCGCTGCTGTACTTCATCCTGAATGACTTGAACAAGATCAATCCTATCTATCAGTTCTCTCTCAAGGTAAACAGGCAGTTCCCCTCAATCTTTTGCTTTCTTGAAGTACACTGTTCACTAATCCAACATTGTGGTTGGCCATTTTGTTCATTAATGTCCCTCAATGTCAATTTTTTTTGTCGTCTTCACCATTGAGGGGAACTAGTACGTAGGGTCCATAAACTCTTTGAGATATGGTCGTTACTTCACAGAACCTAAACCTTTTTCAGATCAGAATTGTGAGGAAATTTCCCAACCCAGTGTTTTAAATTTGTTTGATACCAAGTTTATTTGATGTACAGCATGCTATGTCTCATATAAAATCACTCTTATTACAATCAGAATTTTTGTTCATCATAGGCGTTCAACGTAGTCTTTTCCAAGGCCATCGAGAAAGCGGAACCAGCCGAAGACGTCAAGGAACGCGTCATGAACCTGATTGATTTCATCACTTACTCTGTCTTCATCTACACCACCAGGGGTCTGTTTGAGCAAGACAAGCTCATCTTCACCACGCAGGTTGCCCTTCAGGTTAGTGCGTTAATGCTGCAAATGATAACGATAGAGGGCGCTATGGTGCCTACTCACGAGAGCCAATAGAGGGCACAGAATGTACGTGCGTCTGTTAATTCAAATATCGAAAGCAAGCTGAACAAGAATGGCACACATTACATGTGGCTTATTTTCAAACGATCATGCCGACAAATTTTCATAGTTGTGTTCTTCACTGACTTGTTTTGATAAGCATTGCATACTAAGCACTACCTGGTTCATAGGTGACTGCGTCATACACACGCATGCACCACTGATTACCAGCACCCATTGGCTAAATATGCCACTTGGCCCTACTTCCAGTTCCAGTGGTCCCAATGCTACTCAGTGTGTGGTGGGCGTGGTTTAAGTAGAAATGACGCAACACTTACAAACCAGATATGAGGGTTTAAATTAGGCCCTGTACATTTCTGTTGTTTTTACTGAAACATATTGTTAATTTGTTTTCTTGGCACCACAGATTCTCCTTATGAAAAAAGAAATCAACCCAGTTGAGCTGGAGTTTCTGCTGCGTTTCCCCTCTCAAGTCAACGTCACCAGTCCTGTGGATTTCTTGTCCAACCCTGCCTGGGGTGCCATCAAGGTAAAGCATGCTTCGTGATGAAAGCTGTATCTGGACTGAGAAGACAAAAACAGATCCACTCCATGTTTAATGCTTTGATATTTCATTGCATTCTTTATCGTGTCTTTTGTTTATCCAGTCCCTTGCGGCCATGGAGGAGTTCCGCAATCTGGACCGTGACATCGAAGGCTCGGCCAAACGCTGGAAGAAGTTTGTGGAGAGCGAGTGCCCTGAGAAGGAGAAGTTCCCCCAGGAATGGAAGAACAAATCTTCCCTGCAGAAACTCTGCATGATGCGTGCCTTACGCTCAGACAGAATGTCCTATGCAGTCAGGTAGGGGAGATGGTCAACATGCAAGACGTCATATCAAGTCATATCAGGCCAAACTTTGGAGTATTTCTTTTCAGGTTCCAATTCTTGATCTCAAGATCAGGCCAAAGAAAAAATCAAGTTTTAAAAACAAAGGCTTCAGTTTACACAGGCATAAAAGTAGAATATCCATCATGAAAAACAGCCATTGATTATTAAAAATAACATGTAAAAATGTGTCTTCATGCAGAAATTTCATCGAGGAGAAGTTGGGCACCAAGTACGTGGAGAACCGTTCCATAGACTTTTCCAAATCCTTTGAGGAGACAGGACCAGCTACCCCAGTCTTCTTCATCTTGTCGCCGGGCGTGGACCCCCTGAAGGACGTAGAGGCCCTGGGCAAGAAGATTGGCTGGACGTTTGACAACAAGAACTTCCATAATGTGTCCTTGGGCCAAGGCCAGGAGATTGTAGCTGAACAGTGTATGGATCTGGCTGCCAAGGAGGGACATTGGGTCATCCTACAGGTCAGTCATATGGTATTCTTGTAGTCTCACAGTCAACCGATTCAAACAATTTGTCACCCTCATTAGTGTCAGCGCTACAGGGGGGCAGGGCCCCTCCCCCCCCCTCCCCCCCCCCCCCCAATTGTCTTCCTTCCAGTTTGCCCCCAAGAAAGTCAAACCAAAGAGAAAAAGGAAAAAAAGAGCCATTAAGTAAAGCATGGTGACATTGTCATCAAAGTATATCCAATTTTTGAAGTTTATCATTGTCAAATAAAAAATGCACATTGTCACTTTTGAAAATCCACCAATCGAAAATTGATTTCATACACAAAGTAAGGTATATTGTCCTTGTCATTGACATCCACCAATTTATTTACATCTTGTCACTGATTATCATTCAAGAAACTTTTTATTGTCATTGTCATTTGTAGAACATCCACTTGGTAGCCAAGTGGCTGAGCACCCTTGAGAAGAAACTGGAATCAACCGGCGAGGGAAGTCATCCTGACTATCGTGTCTTCATGAGCGCTGAACCTGCTGGCACACCAGACAACCACATCATACCACAGGTACACAAGAACTTGTGCTATTACCTTCAATTGAATACATGCCTTGCCTTTTTCTTTATTTCCCCGAGAATTGCCCAAGGTAATTGATAATGAGCAAGTTTTGCCCTCCTCCTCCCCAGGGTGTCCTTCAAGCCTCCATCAAGATCACCAACGAGCCCCCTACCGGCATGTTTGCCAACCTCCACAAGGCCTTATATAACTTTGACCAGGACACGTTGGAGATGTGCGCCCGGGAGGCTGAATTCAAGGCTATCCTCTTCTCTCTCTGCTACTTCCACGCCGTGGTGGCCGAACGTCGTAAGTTTGGTCCCCAAGGCTGGAACCGAGTCTACCCATTCAACACCGGGGACTTGACTATCTCTGTCAATGTGTTGTACAACTACTTGGAGGCAAATTCTAAGGTAGGAGCAAGTTCCATCAAGAATTACGGTTACACATATTTTGATTAAAATTGATCAAAATACAGTGATTGTTTGAAGCATAATGTGTCGTAATGTAAATCTCTTGCAAAGAAGTCTGTCAATTTGCAAAAGCAATTGTAACGATAGCCAAATAAGTTTCTTTGATTTCTACAAAAACAAATTAAAAATTGGCATTAATTTTCTTTAATAAGCCCACTTTAAAATTATTTTAGGGTTATAATAAATGTTATTTCTTGTACAGAAACACACCACACCACGCATACTGAAATTTGCATCCTTGTGGAGACATTTCTTTGTTCTCGTGTAGTAAAGTTTTCAAGTTTGAAAATGTAGTATCAAAATGCTCTTATTTTAACCAGAATTAATTTCCTTGGCTGAAATTCGGACTTTCATTTTCTAAAACTCGTCCATTGGTGACAGATCAACGCACCTTGGAAATTCCTAGTTTTTAAGTAAAATCCATATATCTTTTTCGTCAAAACGTTGTGGAGACGTATTCATCTATAGAAATTGCCCTGTGGAGACGTATACAATCATTTGCTCCCTATTGTGTGCATGTCTCCAGAGGGCACGGTGTATCAGATCACAGAAGTTACAAGTGTTTATAAAGCAGAGTCATTCAGTCAAGATTCAGATTCCTGATTGTCTTGTCTTTGTTTGAATCTCTTAGGTACCATGGGAGGATCTGCGGTATTTGTTTGGTGAGATCATGTACGGTGGTCACATCACTGATGACTGGGATCGACGTCTGTGTAGGACATACCTGGAGGAATACATGCAGCCTGATATGGTAAGCCCAAAGATGCTCAAACTCTGAATGGTATAGACCATTCTAGCAAAGGCCACAGCTGCGGTCAAGCCATGCTTTCGTGAATGCCAAAGATTTACTTTGATTTAAGTTACCTTAGTTTAAGGTACATGTGTATTTTGAAAACCCTATTGTTCATAGGAGTAATTGTTGTATTTTTAATGTTTTTCTGTTTTCTTTTTCTAATTTTCAGCTTGATGGTGAGGTATACCTTGCGCCAGGTTTCCCCATCCCTCCCAACTCGGATTACGTCGGCTACCATCAGTACATTGATGAGATCCTACCCCCAGAGAGCCCCTACTTGTACGGCTTACACCCCAACGCCGAGATTGGCTTCCTGACTACCACCTCCGACAATCTCTTCAAGGTGGTACTGGAAATGCAGCCACGAGACAGTGGGGCCGGGGCAGGGGCTGGCTCCAGCAGAGAGGAGAAGGTTTGTACCACTTGTTATTGCCCTCAAAACATAAAATCTAGATTCAAAATATGTCAGTCCAGGCAAAATACAAAGAAATCAGAGTACAGAAAAGCTGTCGCGGGCCGTTTTGCAAAGTGGGTCATGGTGCACTAGGCGAAGTAAAAAAAAAAACATGTTTAGCGTCCCCGCCCGCTTCCTTTTTAGAGGCCGCCTCCTTTTTTTTTTTTTTTTTTTTTTTTTTTAAAAGACAAAAATTGATAAATTTTAACGATCTCTGACCAATGAAATCATATTTTTAGACTTTTATACCGTGTATAAAGCTGTGGAAATAGTCCATGAGTCCAAGTGGCGGCCATTTTGAAAAAAGCTGGTAACCATCTTGAAAAATAGCCCGCCCGCGTTGTCTTGAAAAATGTGTCGGGCGGCCATTTTGAAAAGAAAAAAAAAAAAAAAAGGGCCTCCTCCTTCCTTTTTGTCAAAGAGGCAGGACGCTAAACATGTTTTTTTTTTTATTTTGCCCTAGGGCAAGGATGCAGCAGTTTTCACAGCTTTTTGACAACATGCTTTGCTCTGGATTTTTGTGTGAATGACCAGTTTGCTTTATGAGTCTGTTGCATAGATTTTGTATTGTGTGGTTTCATGTCAGCAGTGAAGCGCGGAAAGTATACCACACAATGCAGAAATCGAACAGTGAAGTTGTAAAGTGCTCTCTTAAAGGCCCAAGCACTAGACCGTCACGATAACGTACACAATGGGCTTTAAAAAAAAAGGCATTCTGAATACTGACCAGAATTTTAAACAAAGTTTTCTGCAAAAACTGGCGATGAGAGCATATAGCACCATTGAAATAGATTGCTTCCTTATTGGAGACCAAGGCCTGCTTATTAGAAACTATTGCTTGGCAAATTTATAAACCTAGCGGAATACCAACGCTAAAACCTGTCACTAATAGTTGTGTATTTATTTATTTATTTATTTATTACATTTCTTTACCCAGGGTATGCCCAAAACAGTTAAAACCTGGTTTCTGCTGGGACCCTGTTCAGATATATATGGCATAAACTTTTGGCTTTATGAGATGAAAGCCAGTGCTTTATCACTGTGTGGCCTTCAAGGTACCAGACCAAGATGGCTGTAGATTTGTCCCCGTGTCTGATTATATTCTGTGATTTGTCACACACAGATCAAGGCCTTACTGGATGAGATTGTGGAGAAATTACCGGATGAATTCAACATGCTGGAAATCATGGGGAAAGTGGAGGAGCGGACGCCGTACATCGTGGTGGCCTTCCAGGAATGTGAACGCATGAACACGCTGACTTCAGAAATCAGACGTTCTCTCAAGGAATTGGACCTTGGACTGAAGGTCAGTACTCAATTGTCGTTTTTGTCTTTCGTATTGCCACCTTTACAGACTCAATTGAAGGGGACGTTGAACCCATACGATTTCAACTTAAAAGATCTTATAAGATTCTTATAAACGGGTCCGAATCTTTTAAGATTCTTATAAGAATACACAGCAAGTAAGAGAAGGATAACAATTATTATAAGATTAATGAAGTTCTTACTTGAGTTAGAAATTGCGTGGATTTCTTATAAGATTGCTTTCCCACTGTGCCATTGCAATTGCATTTTCAGATTATTTCACGATGCATAATGGAAACATGAACCGGTACTTAAGATAATGACACTGTAAAACTCCAGAACCAGATATTTTGGGGAAAAAGGACTCTTTTACCATTCATTGAATTGATTTAATTTAACGTGCACATTGAACAATTGGATAGCTGAAATTTGTTTGAAGCGTTGAGTGCTTTGCTACGATTTATTTACAATATCAGTGAATGTAATGCAACTGTACACATGTAGTACTTCATGCAGAACTTGTAAGTACCACTGATACATCGATATGACTCAATTGTTGGATATTATTCTCATATATTAGCTCACAGGAGACAGATGGTCCAAAACTTTTGATCAAAGTTTGTCAAAAAGAAAAAGCACATTAACCTGTTCATCATATTTGTATATTCTCCCAGTTCCAACCCAGTTTAATTTTTAAAAAAGGCAACGTTCAAACTTCAGATTCATTTTGCAAAGAGTCGGTTTTGGAGTAAGCCTGTTTTGTAGACAAAGTGGCGTCTAGATGACAGTGATTGATCAGGCTAATGTTACAGCCCATCAATGCACATCATGCAGGCCCATTCCCTGATCCCAGACTGGGGGGGGGGGGGGTCTTCAAATCCCAAAGTGGACCTTTTTTATATGGGCTAATTAATGGGCCAATTAGATATGGATGTTGCATATAAAAAAATATGAGTAAGTGTTTTCTTTAGTTTTTTCCTAAACCTTGCTGAAGTTGAAAGTGACTAGGACAAGAAAATACAAGAGATGATACCTTTTTTATTTGAGAAAATAAACATGTCTTTTTTCTGTGTTATACGTACGTAACATGGACAGACAGACACACTGCAGCAAGGAAAAGGGTGCTGAGGACAAATTCAGATTCTTATAGGGACTTTCATTTGACATTATCAACCCATTTTACTTTGCTTTCAAGCGAAAAATATAACAGCTTTTGCACTGGCATCAAAGTTATGATGTGATTAGGGCTACGTACGAATAGGGACAGACATTTTGTGACAAATATGTAGTCTGTTCGTACGTATAAATCCTGATTATAAAATTTCAAATAATTCTTCAGATTGACTCTGAGTTTTCTAGGTTTTGACTGATGGCATTCCTCCAGGGTACATCTTCTTAAATCAGACAACATTAGGGGATCATTAAATGTTATGCCTACTTTGTGACTTTATCTGAAACGTCTGTCCTTTGTTACATACATGTATGTAACACTTTTATAAAAAATATCCACGGTATTTTCTAACATAAAAAAACCCAGTTATATCCTTTGCAGGTGAGGATATTTGTTCAAAGCTTGCACTGTTTACAACAAAAATTGAGAGACCGAGATCCTAGTTTTATTTCAAAACTGAAAAGGTCTTCTCATGGTCTTCTTAAATGTCACACTTTTGGGCCCATTAGTGTGGAATTGCCAATTGGGCCTGTCATGTCATCAAGCACAACTCGCAGATCCCCTTTTAATGTGGCAGTGAATCAATGTATACTATGGCACAGGGACACTGGTATACCCCTCGGTCTCGAACCATGCACAGTATATCCTGCTAAACGCAGCAATTAACACACAGCACTTGTCAACATGACAAGCCTGGTGTAGCAAGATCAATGATGTCAAAAATCCCAAGGCCAAACAAGGTTAGGTTTAGGGTCAATGGTGACTAAATGCAACAGAAAACAACTGTGGCATTGTGCCTTGGATGATACAAGCATGGAATTTGGCATAGAGACAGAGACCTTTTGTTTTTCAAAGGACAAATCTGCGATGGCCCTATCTTCAGGGATAGGGATTGGCCCTATAGCCTATGGCTCTCATTGTCTCCGAATTGGCTGTTTATGCACTGGTGTTGATGGCTCAGTGAAGGAGGACAAGGGTCCACTGACCTTTACACCCCCACCACTGCATTGGTCTGACAGGGTTAGGGTTATATAAAGAACTTTGATTCAACCAGTAACAATGGATTACTTTATTTACTAGCATGTGGCCGTATTTAATAGGGGGTAACTTTTTTATTGACAGGGCTTCCAAAAGTTGACCTTCCTGTGCTTCAAAAATAAAAATTCAAACAAAATTGTTAATGTTTTTTTCCCTGACAAATTTGTAACCAAATATTTAAATAAAAAAATTGAATTAGTAAAAAAAAACCTTTTTTTTCTATTATGGACACAGCAACCCTCTGAAAAGGTTTTATGTAAGGGTTGTTTTGTGTCTCTTATGCACAAAAAGGTGATCACGAATTATCAGGCTTCAAATAATTGATTTTTAAATGTCATTGTTTGATAGTTTTTTTATCGTCACATTCAAAAGAGACTAGTATTTGTATACATTGTATTGCTCAAAAATAGATTCCGCAAATCTATTAAATTTAGATAAACATTTTTGAAATCTAAGCATGAACATGGGTTCTGCAGAACTCTGCACACAGTCTGCAGACTTTCATTGAAGCTCTTCCTTAACTGATATGTGCCACTTTTGAAAGACCGACGTGATTGGTACAGGACTTCATTTATTGATTGATTGATTGATTGATTGATTGATTGATTTGTGAAACCAGGGCGAGCTTACCATCACATCAGACATGGAGGATTTGAGCAATGCCCTATTCCTGGATCAAGTGCCAGAGTCTTGGAACAAGCGTGCCTACCCCAGCATGCTTGGCTTGGCAGGCTGGTACGCAGACCTTCTACTCCGCATCAAGGAACTAGAGAGCTGGACAGCCGACTTTGCCTTACCCACGGTGGTCTGGCTGGGTGGGTTCTTCAACCCTCAGAGCTTCTTGACGGCTATCATGCAGTCCATGGCACGTAAGAATGAATGGCCTCTGGACAAGATGTGCTTGCAGTGTGACGTGACCAAGAAGAACAAGGAGGATTTCAGCAGCGCTCCTCGTGAAGGGGCGTACGTCCATGGCCTATTCATGGAAGGAGCTCGCTGGGACACCCAGACAGGAATGATCGCTGACGCTCGCTTGAAGGAACTGACTCCATCGATGCCAGTTACCTTCATCCGTGGTATCTCAGTGGACAAGCAAGAAACACGTAACATCTATGAGTGTCCGGTCTACAAGACAAAGCAGCGTGGTCCGACGTTTGTCTGGACCTTCAATCTCAAGTCCAAGGAGAAGGCTGCTAAGTGGACACTGGCTGGAGTGGCTCTACTTCTCCAAGTCTAAAAGGTAACCTTCTGAAGTACAAAGTCTAAGAATGCTGAAGGCTATTCCCACACTAAGGCCATTTTCATTTAAGTACTTGGATTACGGATTTTTCAGGTCCCGAGGTTGGGCGGGTAGCCAAAATGTTTTCCAAAATACACCAAACATGTGGGGGCGCCCTTTACAACGCGCACATAATAGTACGCCCTGTATTACGACGCAATCTTCAATTCTGAAAGTGTTCAACCGATGTTCCATTTAAGTGCACAACAAATTATCAACATTTTATATATCATTCCAAACAATTGCTTGGAATCTGTTTTTAAAATATTTCATTGCCAATGTTTGAAAAGCGCTTGTGTATCGATGCAGCTGGTTTCCGTTCATTCTGCTAATTCTTAGAACAGTTTTGGTGACGGGAAGCAGTATACCCACTGCGCGTCACAAATGCAGATGAACATGCAAGAACATACGATCAATCAACAAGCTTATAGTAAATCGGTACATAATGTACGATTATTCCTTTCTCAATTTTTGGTCTGACGCCACGATTGCTTGGTTAAAAGTAAATCAAAAGATTGTGTTTGCTACTCAAAAGGTGTGATATTTCTTTTTTCCATTATTAGTTTTTTTAAATCAAATTTTTGTGACGGTGACTCTGTAATCCATGTTATTAAAAAAAAATGGCCTTACTATCTCTTGTTCTTTAACAGTTAGTTTTAAGCGTCAAGCATTCTGCAACCTCTTTTTCCGCATGTTGCAGCCACCTTGGTCTAGATCCCAGACCTACATGGAGATTGCTGTGAAGCTATCACAACACCATATAGGCACCAGGCTAATCTCTGGCTGATAGAAAATCAAATACCAAGGTTTAAAGAGAGGGTTTAGTGTAACAGTTGTTTTACAGCATTATTTACAGTTTTAAATTTGGGGGTTAAAAAGGGGACCATTTCAACTTAAGTTTAAATCATTCAAATTTCAGTGCATTCCAATTCTAAATGTTAGCCCAAAAGGTTGCGTGTTGCATTTTTTTTGAAAGAAACCAAATGTACATAGAATCAGTTGATGTAAATATTTCAAACATCTGATATTCATAACATATTGTGTATTTTTGCAGTTCTAGTCAAAGGTTTGTTTCAGTTCTTCCATAGATGTCATAACATACAAACGATTCTCATGAGGAGTTTTTAAAAATCTGAAGGCCCATTTGCCATCATGTGTTATTCATGTTTAATATGGCTTTGGAAATTTTAGCTGTTCCTAATTTCATAGCATTCACTACTAATATTTGAGGCCAGTTTTGGGATTTTTGTTTGCCATAATTGATTGCAATCGTCATTCACCAGTTTCCTTCTCATAACTTATTTACAGAAAAATAATTAATAAGATGGAATTATTTCTGTTCAATAGTGGGTTTTGCCCTTGACCAACTCAATATTACGTCAGTATTTGTTATGCCCTCGCAGACAAAAAATACTAGAGAAAGTACAAGGAGTTTGCTAATTAAACATCCTGGCGACGCCCACGTTCACGGTGGGCGAAGTTTAAGTGCTACATATAAATATGCAAAGTATTTGTAAGCATTGACTGTATTACTCAATGCCTCAGTGCCGTCCATTTAGTTACCATTTATTGCTTTGATTTTTATTACCTTCCACCGACTGATGCTTTGAATTGATACATTACAGACCACCTGCACTTTTTAATATTGCCACTCAAATACAAGTATTTATATCTTCAAATTTTATATGCCACTGCAGTCCGTCCACAATTTTAAAATAAAATAATTATATTTGTGTCTGTTATTGAAAATTTTTTTGGATTTGAATTAAGCAGAAGCTGTGCTGGTTGTTCAATATGATGTATTAAAGTCTCTCTATGTGTAGTATTTGCAGTGATAGATTTGAATTCACAGAAGAGTGATGCAAGTTTTGAAGTATTCTGCCACCATTGTGAACAGGACCAAAATTATAATATAAGGTTAAAGGGTCCATACGAGGAATTGTTCTTAGGGACACATTTTGTGCAACTTTCTACTTCTCTTAAATGTATGAACACCTACTGCACAGTCCTCTTTTGGTTAGTCTGATTGAAAGTGCACTTCTTTAAACCTTTAAAATTGTCTTTGTTTTTCCTGACTACTGAGGGCGCTGCTGCTGTGATGTCATTGTAGGAAGACACTGTTCAGTGTAGGGGTTTAAGTTCTGTTCAAATTGTGAAGCCACAATTTGCTCATTGAAAACATTTGTAAGAAGGAGTTGCTCATTGGCTTACTCCCATGTTCTTACCAGTGTTGGAGTACTTGTACTTGTACTCGAGTACTCATACTCTAGTACACCCAAGTGCTCAGCCCGTACTTGACTATCAGTACTCAAAAATTATTTGCACTCAGCCCGTACTCGATTCTTTGTACTCAAATTTTGCATGGACTAGATGGTTTGGTACTCGATCGGTACTTGACTCCAGTACTCGGGAGTACAAATCGAGTACATTTCTTTTTAATCGATTCTATAGCTCGTCCTGGAACGCAACGCCAGCGCAGTTCAGTCTGTATTACGGTCATATATTAAAACAAAACATAAAAGACTAGATCGGCAGCGCGTGCTTACGCCCTCTTCACTGTGCGATAAATGTGTGCCATTTTTGTGGTCTATCATGGACGTGCAAAATATTAACATAAAGTCATACAACAAAATGTATCTGTCGTCCAGCACCGAGTTGGTATGCATTGCGCACACACGTGCCGCTTTCTGTTTCGGTTTCAATAATTATGTTTTCTGCAAACTTATAAACCTGTAAACCTTTACATTGTGTAGGCCAACTACTCAAGAGCAAATGGTTTTCAGTAAAAGCATTCGCTTAATTTTTATTCATACAGTTGCGAGTAAATGCTTACAAATTGGTAGTAAATGCAAATGCAACTTTTCATTCATACGAACTATGGTATTATTTTGTACTTTATAAATTTTTTATATTAATCTTTCGCAATTAACATTAATAAATGCACTAAGTTTTGACAAGTAAATATTTAAAATCTGAAGCATTTACTCCTTTTTTATAGTAAAGTAAACGATTATTAAATTATTTATTGATTTCTGGTAATGAAACTAAGGATTCCTTAAAAGTGCATGCCCTAGGCACTGTAGCTCGCAAGCCTGAAGAAACTTGTAGAGAGAAGACAATGAGCAGAAATTACAGTTTTAGAGGTGGGAGGAAAACCCCAGAAGAATAGTCTGGGGAAAACCCACGGAATCAGGTAAGGACTGAAAACCCAATCCACATGTAGACCAGGGTGCCGATGCACAGCGCATTGTGCGCGTAAACGGCATTGCGTTCGTCACGTTTGGCGCGCGTTTTTTGTATCTGTCCTCCAGCACGTGACCCTCCTGGTAAGGCCGCACGTATGCACGCGCTGCCGATCTAGTCTTTTTATTTGATATCTTTGATTATAACACCTCACCCACAGATTCTGTGTCTTGATTGGCCGAGAGCGAGTCACATGTTACTTTCTAATTTTGCTATCTTTCTGTGCACGGCCAAAAGTACTATGCGCATAGCAACCAAAGTACTATACCATTAGCAACCAAAGTACTATTTCCACAGCGCGGTATTTGTGTGCAAATGCATGCTGGTGTGCGCGTTGCGCGTTGTGCGTAGCGCGTATTATTCCAAAGAGAGCGCGCCGCAGACTTGGGTTCAAACATTTCGTGAAGGGGTAGTTTTTAAGAGAGAAATACATTTTCCACCAATTTTGTATTGAAATTGAAGTCTATTTCAACTGTGTTCAGATTTAAATAATTTAAAATATTAAAATTAAGCAGAATCTGTGGGTGAAGTGTTATAAAACAAATATTGAATGCTTTATCTCGTGGTGAAGTAAAATAAGCCTCCCTCGGTGATCCATGGACCATTCTGGTCCATGGATCACCTCGGGAGGCTAGTTTTACTACACCACTCGAAGCATTCAATATTTGTATACTACGGCCTGGTCTAGTTCAAGTCATAGCACTGAGGATATCGTGAATTGGGAGCCAGTCAAGTCCACGCATCTTGTGTTCACTCACCGCTTCACGGTTACCATCTTGGGATTTTGCCCAAGCATAATCCTTGTCCCAGCAACATGTATTGTCCGTTGCCTAGGGAAATCTCAGGAATTTTACAGAAATTATATTTTGAGTGATCGCAAAGCCTTTCCATGTAGGCCTACACGTCGACTACAATTGCATATATCACATGTGCCACATCATTGCAATTTTTTTCTTAGCTTTATGGTTGTATGTTCTCGGATTCCAGGACTCGACTCCAACACTGGTACATGTACTTACACCACAAGGAATCACCAAAGAACAGAAAATTTACTACAGCAAAATTTCCAAAATTCTACCAATTGTTTGTGCTGAAATAGCTGTTATTGAAGTTTCTGCCTGGAATGACATCACAGTTTTGTCATGAATATGGAAATTCGCATTGACATAAAACATAAAACCAAAAAAGCACCAAAACACTCTGTAAAACGGCAAAACAAAATTGAAAATAAGATTAAAGTTAAACAGGGAATAATTTGGAGAAAATACAAGTGAAGAGATATTGTTTACTTGTGCATTTTCAGATTGATGGGAGTTTATGGACATTCCGTTAAAATTGTCTTCAGAACATTTGATGTGGTTTTAAAATACACTGCTTTGTATTCTTTTCTGTTCTTAATTTGTGCCTTTTATCAATAAATGCATTTAATGACAAGTGAACCAATGGAGTTCTTTGTTTCATCGTTCTGTTCCTAATGAGTGAAATCTATTTATTGTTATGTATTTAATAGTTTTTATGTTTAACCCCAATACAACCATCAAATTGATTGTTACATGAAGGATGTAACAAACATTGAGCAAAATAAGAGAAGAGTTGTTAAAAATGCGTTATAAATTATGCACTTCATCTGTAAGAAAACAATATTTTGAAGTCTAAAACTTTGACATATGAAGTTAAAAATGGCAATGTTATAAAGTTAATGATAAAGTTAATGTAACTTCGATGATTACAATAGCAAGAAAAAAGTGACAAACCCCAACTCAGTTATAGGGTGACCTATCCCCCTCCCCCCCCCCCCCCCCCCCCGCCTTACAGCTTTCCACATTTGCATTAGAAATCCAGCAACACAAGATAGTAAGCTGGTCCGTAAGCACAATAAATTCTGAGTCAATTGATTCACAATGGCTATTCAATGGTCTACACAATAGGCCCGATTTAACCCATTCATTGGCATTACTGGGTAAACCTGTACAATAGCACTGCCCAGCTCACAACTGATAGTCGGTCAGTCAATCAGTCAGTGACCCTAACAAAAAATGGGTTAAGATACCTGGTTTTATACAATTGGACAAAGTCCTGTGAAGGTATAAACAAGTGGTAAATAAGTTATGGCGGATGCTTATTTGCATATTATGCATAAAATACACACATTATCATTGTAAAATGGCTTTAATGAATTCTTTCACCGTAAGACATATGGGTTTAGATTCCTCGTTTTAATTTATACGATTGGACAAACTCTTGCGGAGATATAGATGGAAATTAAATAATGGAGGATGCTGATTTGCATATTATGCATAAAATACATAAATTAGTCATTAGAAAATGGCTTAAATGAATTTGTTTACCCCCAAACATGTTCTGGACACCTCGATTGATAAGTTTGGGCAAAATCCTGCATAGATAGAAAACTCATATTTTCCTTATGGCGGGAACTATTAAAAAATGCTCAAGTGTGCCAAGGTGGCACCCTATAGCTATCGGAATATTGCCCTACAAGGTCCAAATGACAAGATAATGCAAAAACATTTTGTGCGGACCCTAAGCTTCCGTGGACAAGCCTCGGACTATCTTTGACGCCATGCCAGCGCCAGTAGAGCAGGCAAGGCTAACGCGTTGATCACAGCCAACATAATAAAAGCCAGAGTGAAGCTGCCGTAGATATCGTAAATCAGTCCTGCGGGCAAAACAAAACAAATTGAAGCTTTAACGGAAAACGAGGTAACATGAAAAGAAAGACAGTTATTACAAGTGATTGCAAGAGGCTGCAGTTTTAAATTAAACGGGTTTTACAAAAATAGTCAATTTTAGGTATTTCTAATAAAAAAAGTCACCATCCGTTTCAACAGTCTTTAGGCCTATTTAGATTTCTGCTTCTGACGTTAAATAAATGTTTAAAATTGATGGTAAATGTCTGCTAATTTAAGAAGACGCAAAGGGTTTGTGTCATATCAGTGTGGTTAGCCTTGGCAAATTGTACACCGACTAGGAAAAGTTGGCGCTGTTTTTGTGAAGTAGTCTGGTTCCCTTACAAGACTATTTCATCATGATAAATCTGAAATGTCGGGTCAGGGATCCAGAAATGTGGACCGACATGTCTTTGGTGTGCACGTGCGCCGCGCAACTTGAGTGCAGGCTCACTTTGGCAAAGTGTCCTTCAAACTCTCTGTTTCGATGTTGGGCTGATAGCTTGATATGAGCCCTTTTTTAGACAGTGCAGAATGGTTCCTGATAATCTCCAGGTTTCTTCAAGTTTTGAATCTATGAGATAGACGGGAGCAGTGTGTCATGCCTCGGTACTACAGCTGCACGGGCCCTCAAAGACAGTACATATACACGCACGTGCGGGACTGCGCGGCGTGATGATAATGACGAGTTGGATACCATCGTTTTTCAAGATACCGGCCTCATCTGTTGTCTGGTAAGTATATTTTTTTTCATATTTTCACCGTGAGTACTTTTTGGTCTGTATGCAGCCATTCTGTAATGTCACAACAGGTCCATGATGTCGCCAACATTCACCAAAGTCTATACGTCCGTCTGTCCACAATAACTAGGTCAGTCCCCCCCCCCCAAAAAACATTAGTGTGTTACCTGCAGTTGATTGTTGCATGCACGCAAGGGCGGATCCAGGGGGGGGGGGGCCAAAGGGGGCCATGCCCCCCCCCCCCAAAAAAAAAACGAAATAATTTTTTAATTTTTGTTTATGTGACATCGCAATAAAGGCAGGCAATGAGTACACCACCATCTTTTCCTCAAAAAAACATTGGTTAAAGTGGTCAGAAATTGCCTCAGATCACACCACAGAGCATCTAGAATTCAAAAAATTTTCGGGGCCCTAATAAGCGGGCCCCGAACCCCACGCCGTAATTTTTGACCCACTTTTTGGGGGGGACCAAATTTTTTTGGGCCCCCCCAAAATTGTGTTCTGGATCCGCCCTTGCATGCACGTACCCTTTTGAATGCCATATCGGATGAGCGCTCATATACTCAACTTGGACTTATTATATTATTTGTCCATTTTGTATACGTATTCGTTCACTGTGGTCCACAATTGAAGGGATTGTGTCCAGCACAAGTGCCATCCACTGTCAAATTTGTGTCCTGACACCCCCCCCCCCTTCGCTTTCGAATTCCCAAATTTCAGAATTAACCGTTTCCCGATAACATATGAGTATATTAATAGTAATTGTATGCCCATAAGCGTTTGTCTGAGTGTCAGCTAAGACTAGAGATGTAACAGAAATCTCTGCGTCATGATTTGAGCTAAAATTATTTAGGCCAAAGCGAATTGTGACTATTATATTCAATTGTCGACATGTGACACGTACTGACACTTTTTTTTTAATCGTCGGACTTCTAGTCTGCCTTTAACAACAAAATGACCCTCGACCCACAGTAAACCTACAGCGTTTTCATTTACTGATGGCATGTATTTTGTTCACATTCAATATGCGTAAAAACACCTTTCAAATTGACCCTACCTGGAAAGAAGACAAATAATGCCCTGACGAGGCCCGCCTTTAAACCGATCCATCCTAGAGCACTCCCCAGCCGTTCCGCGCCAACAGATTTCTTGGTTAGAACATCCAAAAGAGTATACGTGCAGGAATGGAAACAGCCGTAGATAAAGGCATACACCATGATGGGCCAATACGAGTTTAAGAGCGGATCAATCAAGAAACACGCACAACTACCAATGACTGCCAGTCCCATCCATGCATTTGTGCTGACAACTTGACAACTGTCGAAGAAACAAGCGGCTAGGTTTCCGACTATCTTGCCCACACCGAATATTGATACAAAGATGGCAGCATCGGCTAAAGAGAAGTCTTTGGATTGGTTAACGTTCGGTGCGAAATACACAACCCACGCTGTGGCTGTGACTGTCGTGAAGATTGATACCAGAACTACGAGCCAATAGTCTGGCGAAGTGAACATGTCAGTCTTGAACAGATCCTTGATGGATGTTAAGATGCATCGACATCCATAATCTACTGGACTCGTCTCATCCGCTGAAACATCCTCACTGATTATCTCGTAATCATTAATTTGTATGTTTAGTTTCTTGTTCGGTCTGAGCAATGCTCCACAAACTACAAGATGTAACAACAAGGCACCCAGCAGCATCATGGTCCCTCGCCATCCGTACAATTCTAGAAAACATTGCGTCAAAGGCGCGAAGACAACAAATGCCACCGAGGCGCCGCTTGCGCCAATCCCGAAGGCCCTTGTATGGTTCTCAGTGAAACATTGACCAATCAAATCCCTTGTTACAATGTTGGACACGCCTATTGCAGGTGCTGTATGCAATAAAGAAAATGAAACAAAATACTATAATTTCAAACTGCTGAATCGGCGCGTGTTACTGCCGGTCGATAGCCAAGATGATATTCAGATGCACCCTTACCTGCCAACAGTGCCAGAGCCAAGGTCATGCCAACCAAGTTGGACACTAACGAAGAAACGACGAAAGAAACACCAACAAACAAACCGCTCACCATGACAACCGTCCTCACACCAAATCGTCTTTGTATTGGCGATGCCAGGGGGCCTTTAAAGAAGGAAAAACGCAAGTGGTCAATTGCAAGCATACGGATTTTGATATAACGTATGGTGTTCTAAAACGGACAGGCAAACGTCGTGTGCGGGAGCAAAAGTCGTGTGCGTGAGTGTGAAACGTCGTGTGGGTGTTTAAACGTGTGTGTGAGCTTCCGTCGTGTGTGTGACTTGATCTGGTACACGGTACCCTCTGGAGACATGTGCACAATAGGAACAAAAGATTGTATACGTCTCCACAGAGCAATTTGTATAGGTGAATATACACAAGGTTATCACGAAATAGATATATGGATTTTACTCAAAAACTAGGAATTTCCTAGGTGTGTTGATTTGCCGCAAATTGAAGTATTTTATTTTGTATTCTTTGTAACTGCGTTCTAATTAGCAAACATACCGAAATTTGTGGAAAAAGGACAAGGGAATATTGGGTATGGCACATTTAAGTTTGAAAATTGTTGTGCACAAGTCTATGGGAAAGTCTCGCTAATGACCATTACCGGTAATAATAGCGTTCTTTCGTTTTGGACGGTTCGTCATGACAGCTCGTCATGACGGTCGTCCTGTCAAATCACATTCCTCGCTGAAACGAAGGGGCGAGATCAATGGATCTTGGCCAATCAACTGGCTCCTCTGTAGTCTGTACGGTAACCTTTGTCGTTCGTAATTCTATGAAAAAAACTTTTGATTATTATTCAAATAATTATGGAACACACACACACACACACAGACTTGTTTCACATACCTAGTGTGGACTTTCCTTTCTTTTCGTGTAGTTAAGGAACACCAGTGGAAAAACTCATTTTTCTCAAACTGTGAAAACTCTTACAACCCATTTTTTTTTCAATGATTCCCTTTAGTGTTTCTCTTCATTCTGCTACAGATAAACCTAACCCAAAAATGCCTCTAAACCTGTTTTCCAGAAATGGGGAAACACTGTGTGGACGTGGGCAAGTCCACACTTCGTCGCTGCTACCTACATTATGTGGACGTCTTTTGTTCGGAAGTCCACACTGCGTATGTAAGACAAGCTCACACCCCCACACCCATTCTGGAATTTGTATTCCTGTGGAGACATTTCTTACACATACCCGCCAGGGACTGCCACGTCGAATGCCATGGGCGTCGCCAGGATTTTTTCTAGAGGGGGGCAAAGCACATTCTCCCCCCCCCCCAAAAAAAAAATACCTGTACTTTTGCCAGCATATTCTCAATTTATCCTCTTTTCGAGGGTGGGCAGGGGGCATTTACCCACCACTTTTTATATGATGGAAAGTAGTAATTAAAGGGAAAATACAACATTTGCAAACATCAAAAAATAAAACTACCAAATCATTTTGAAATACCTTGCTGGACTGTGTTAGTGAATGACAGTGTAAAGCATCCTGTAAAATCATGGCACCTGGTATACTGTCATTTTCAAGAAAAGTGGTATTTTTGTATCAATTTCCAACGCTGATCGGCCGATCAGCGTTGGAAAAAACTGGCTTTTTTCAAATACTGGCCCCAATTGACCATCGCACTTGTTTGCAATCGATTACAAACCTATGAACGGGTACGAGCCAGCTAGACTGGTTCCCTGACCTTACAATTCCCCAATGTATGTAAACTGCTCTGTTTCTTCTTAAATGGAGTCAGGGAACCAGACTACAGGAAAATGATTGTTTTTCTTGGTATTTATAGCATTTTCGAACCCAAAACCTCAAAAAAGTCAGTGTAACTATATTTGCTATATATTTCCAACCCCCCAATTCCATCCATTTCTGAAAATTACAGCAAAAGCAAATGATGTATATTCCCTTTAAGTAATAAAGTCTGTCAGGAGCAAATGTGGCCCATTGGGCCATGGACAGCGCCGGCATTTATCTCCAGTTTCAGAGAATATTTCTATTCCCCCTGGATGGGATGCTAGTCCATCGCAGGTTACTCCCCAGGTAATGCCGGTGTCACATGAAAATCCGACTCCTATGAAAATCGGACCCCTATTTCCCTATTATTGGTTGATCCCTCGCACGTGACAGGTCACTCTCCCGAAACGATCCTAAAAATAGCATAGTATAGTACTCACGCGTGCGCAGTACTACCAATGAGTCCACATTTCATGGAGTCGAATATTCACGCTACACCGGCACCCATTTACACGCCTCTGTGGAGAGAGGCAAGTGTGGATGCAGTGGCTTGCCTAAGGACACAACATATGGCCAGCAGCTGGATTCGAACTCCTGACCCTCTGATCATGAGTCACAAACCCTAACCACGTACACTACCGCACAAAAAAGGAGTTGGATCACTGTTTGTTCTGTTGGAAGTTGGTTGCTGCCTCGGCAAATAATATGGAAGACAATATAACTTTTATAGCGCATTGCTGGTGCTGCACATGGCTACCCGAAAATATAAACGACAACGTCCTTAGAGTTCATGTAACACATGCCTGTCATCTAAAAAAAACCGTACACGTTTTATGGCTGTTTTATGGTCGTTGCACAGACGTAATAAAATGATGTTCTGAAATGTTGACAGAATGGTTCGTGGCTAGACTGTACGAATCATTAATTTTCTGCATAAGCAACACAATATGCTTATTTTCTAAAAGATAATGCATTCTGTGGCTTTTTGGTCTTTGCAGACATAATATCGCCCTGTTATATCGCCCTGTTATATCGCCCTGGGGTTGTGGTGCGTGTGCCCTTGGGCAAAGCACTTAATTTGTCACCCATTGCTTCTTCCCACCTGATTGATTTTAGCTGCCTTGCGCCGAAGTGGCTGCATCGAGCTGTATACTCCTCAGGGACAATGGCGGATCCAGAACACATTTTTTTTTGGGGGGGGGGGGGGGCACAAAAAATTGGTCCCCCAAAAAGTGGGTCCCAAAAATGCCGCGTGTAAATTCGGGGCCCGCTTAAGGGCCCCGAAAATGTTTTGGATTCTAGATGCTCTGTGGTGCGATCTGAGGCAGCTTCTGACCACTTTACCCAAATCTGTTTGAGGAAAAGATGGTGGTGTACGCAGTGCCTGCCTTTATTGCGACGTCACTAAAAAAAAAAAGGGTTTTTTTTGGGGGGGGGGGGGGTAATAATAGGCCCAATGTTCAGGGGTAATAATAGGGATAATGTAAAGCACTTTGATCTTAGTTAAAAGCGCTATATATAAGTACCCACTATTATTTTTCATTAAAAAAATACTTTAAAAGTCACCAAATCAATTCGTCTCCAATCCTAAATATCAATGTTTGTCCTCTGTGAAGTATATGCCAATGTTTTCCTTTCATGGATTGCGGTAAAATGTTAAACCATCCGTAAACGCACACATTGGAGATAGAATTTGATATGCCCTTTCAAAATGAAGCTTGGAGCCATGGGCGTCGCCAAGATTTTTCTAGATGGCTCAAAGCACCTTCCCCCCCCCCAAAAAAAAAAACCTGTACTTTTTTAGCATATTCTCAATTGATAATTTTTTTCGAGGGTGGGAAGGGGGACATGTACCCACCCCAGCCATGAAATTAACAGCAATATCAATGTTTTTCTTTCTTGATCCCGCGCCCCCCCCCCCTCGCGACGCCCATGCATGGGCGTGGCCAGGATTTTTTTTTGTAGCGGGGGCAAAGCAAATTGTTCCCCCAAAATCATTGTACTCTCTCTAGCATATTATCAATTGATCATTTGGTTTTTGGGTGGGCGGGGGACATTTGCCCACCCCACCCCCATTGACACCCCTGCAGACGCCCATTTTGTTAATTAATGTGTATTAAATTAATAGCAAATATGACTTCACACCTCTTTTTCTTTCCTTTCTTTCTTTCTTTTTCTCTCCCCCCCCCTTGGCTTTTCGGGGGGGGGGGGCTTTTCCCCCCTCCCTACACCCATGTCGAATGCAACAACAATGGAAACTGAAAGCCCAGTTGCTCACTTTGAATGAGATAAGTGCGGGAGTTTCAAAAGGGGTATACGAGGCGCATACCGCGCGGTGTGAGATTAGTGTGGAAATTTAAAACTAGGCAGTATATGTCGCGCAATGTTTAGAATTCTGAAAGAAAAGAATTGGGGGAAAAAACCTCTTTCATGCGGGCAATGATGAAGTCGCACAGAATAATGAAGCATTACGGGGTATATTGCAAAAGTGGCATTTTAGTGTTTGAATCCACATGTACATAGTATAGTGAGGTACATTAGTAACAAAAATGCTAAGGATCGTTACACAGTGGACAAAAGCACCATTTTTTCACCAAAGCATCTCCATGGTATACCTTTTCGAAAAAAAGACGGACGCAAAAAATTGAATGATGGAAAGGGCATGTATGACGTCATTATGACGTCATCAGCTAATTATTACATGAAAAAATATAACTTAATAATAATCTTCAGAACTGCAAGCATCTCAACAACAAATTTGGTATCAAATTAAAGGGGACAACGAGATCTTTCATTTGAGTGGTATGTCATTGGGATGGAATATAGTTGAGGGTGATTTTGTGGGTCAAAAAAACCTTTTTGGTCAAAAGACCTGTTTTTTTCGGCTAAAATCATGGATTTTGGGTAGTCACTTTGACACCTTGTTTTAACATGCAAACAGTATGTGGTATTG